TACCAACCTGCCACTGTACCCACCTACCACTGTACCAACCTGCCACTGTACCAACCTGCCACTGTACCCACCTACCACTGTACCCACCTGCCACTGTACCCACCTAACACTGTACCTATACCTGCAACTGTACCAACCTGCCACTGTACTCACCTACCACTGTACCCATACCTGCCACTTTACCCATACCTGCTACTGTTCCCACCTGCCACTGTAACACTGTACCCATTCCTGCCACTGTACTATGATACTTGGGTCAAGATTGAAGAACTATGTTTGGACGGCACCACTTGGGTCAAGATTGAAGAACTGTGTTTGGACGGCACCACTTGGGTCAAGATTGAAGAACTGTTTGGACGGCACCACTTGGGTCAAGATTGAAGAACTGTGTTTGGACGGCACCACTTGGGTCAAGATTGAAGAACTATGTTTGGACGGCACCACTTGGGTCAAGATTGAAGAACTATGTTTGGACGGCACCACTTGGGTCAAGATTGAAGAACTATGTTTGGACGGCACCACTTGGGTCAAGATTGAAGAACTGTTTGGACGGCACCACTTGGGTCAAGATTGAAGAACTGTGTTTGGACGGCACCACTTGGGTCAAGATTGAAGAACTATGTTTGGACGGCACCACTTGGGTCAAGATTGAAGAACTATGTTTGGACGGCACCACTTGGGTCAAGATTGAAGAACTATGTTTGGACGGCACCACTTGGGTCAAGATTGAAGAACTGTGTTTGGACGGCCCCACTTGGGTCAAGATTGAAGAACTGTGTTTGGACGGCCCCACTTGGGTCAAGATTGACGGCACCAGGACACTTGTGTTACACTGCCTGTTGTACGGTGCCAGGATTTGCCGTCACGCTCTGGATAGGACAAGACAAAATCATTGACCGACACCGTTTGACCTTGCCCGGCAAACTTCAAGACCAGTAGTGACACACGTCGTTGTCATTGGCAACAACTCAATGTAAGTAATTGGATATTTGCACTTACCGGAGTAAATCCATGATCCGTTGATCCAACAGAGCTAAAGGCGACACGCATCGTGACTCTAGTTCCTGCTACAATCATTCCTGCACTTGTGATAGGGGCAATAACTGAAGCAATGCTTTTGGTCAGGGTATTCACACAAGAAATATTATATGTTTGGAATTTATTTATATGCTTTTTTTTATACCATCGTATTTCGTCAGCGTAAAGAAAGTAGCCAATAAAGCAAGTGAAGTTGTTGTTTTTTACCAGACAATTATACAATGTAAACTGCTGCATAAATATAATTAGATCAATTGCGATGGACAGATAAATGGTGTTTTGTGCCCATATATATATATATATATATATATATATATATATATATATATATATATATATATATATATATATATATATATATATATATATATATATATAAAGAGACAGAGAGAGAAAAAAATATGTGTGTGGTGTAGTGTTGCAATATGCAATGATGTGTGACTGATTAATCAAACCTTGTAATTAATGTTTGCCAATCGTTATCTTAGCCAGACAGTGGCCGACATGTCTGCTGTTTTTTTTCTTTGAAAACAATTGACAGGAGCAATTGTTGTATACACAAGTCAGTAAGATATTAAACACGTAGCTTATACAATAATAGTAACAAGTAACAGCACGAATTGATATTTTCGATATTTATATCCTCAGTATTTGTGAAGTTTTCCTTTATTTTTCAAAGTTCGCCTTTGTAGATCTATACGTATGACTAAAATCGGCAAGTATTTTAACGATAAAAAGTCCATTAGCCTCCAGCGGTCTTATGTCCTTAGCTTAACTATGTCGCCCGTCTTGCCAACTACACTAGCTGTTTCATACTTCAGACACGTCCATATGAGACGTCACATCACAGGGAGGGGGTGGGGGGAGGGGCGATCTATGATGACGATGAGTGACAAGGGGGTGGGAGTTCAGAAAGTGTGACGACACACTTTGCAATTTTTTGGGGTACAAACTCGGGACTTTTTGAGAAAAATACCTCTCGCTCTCCTAACCAACCCCAGCAATCTACTCAGTGTTAGCCACACTCAGGGAAATGTTTACACACAAAGTGATGTATCAAAAAACATAAATTGCAGTTTTTAGGATAGAGGAGTGAGATGTGAAGTTATTCTAGAGAGATTGTCCTTTTGTTATTATGTAAGAGGCGGGAGGGGGGAGGGGCTGGTTTTAATAAACATGACTACGTTTATGAATGAACTTTTACTGGAAATAAGGAAAACAAAAGGGGATCCTCCTCCCCATTCAATAAAAATTCTTGAAATGTTATTTTAAGTGTGATTGGACTTCAAATCTCTAAACGTCAGCCTGAAGCTTCAGCCAAACATGTAACAGGCGGTGCTCTATACGTGCACTCTAGGACTGGTTATCACGAGAGTTGGAATACCTGGCTACTGGCTACCCAGAGAACAACTGGCTACTGGCTACCCAGAGAACAACTGGCTACTGGCCACCCAGAGAACAACTGGCTACTGGCTACCCAGAGAACAACTGGCTACTGGCTACCCAGAGAACAACTGGCTACTGGCCACCCAGACAACAACAGGCTACACGGGTACCCAGACAACATTGGCCGCTCGCTGATGACGCAATCAACGAGAAATTATTTCCTCGCATATCCAACCGTCGTGTGCAGTCAGCCGTGTGACAATTGCTGCCTCAGGTGTGTTCAGAGGCGTAGCTAGTGGAGGGCGGTTCGGGCGGCTGTCCCGGACGCCGACCCTATGGGGGCGCCAAACTAGGTAGAAAATAAAATAAAAAAGCACATTCTGAGCTGAATTATTGAATTATACAGTCAAAGTTTTAAAACAAACTACTATTTGCATTCCAGATTATTTAACTGTTATCTACATCTATTGTATCGTCAAAATAAAAACTGTTAAGAGACAGTGATTGGAAAAGGCGCATTCAACCAAATCAGGGAGGGGCGCTTTTTTGCCAACGTGAACAACTTTTTTTTCAAATGGGGACGGAGATGCGCAAAAATTGACCGTTCGCATGAAGGGTCCGGCTGGGCTAATTGAAAATGCATGGTTGGTTTCACCTGTATAGAGATCTCAAACCCGTGGAATCTTCTTACATCTTTAGCGACACAATCTCTAGCGACACACATCTCTAGCGACACACATCTCTAGCGACACACATCTCTAGCGACACACATCTCTAGCGACACACATCTCTAGCGACACACATCTCTAGCGACACATCTCTAGCGACACACATCTCTAGCGACACACATCTCTAGCGACACACATCTCTAGCGACACACATCTCTAGCGACACACATCTCTAGCAACACACATCTCTAGCGACACACATCTCTAGCGACACACATCTCTAGCGACACACATCTCTAGCGACACACATCTCTAGCGACACATCTCTAGCGACACACATCTCTAGCGACACACATCTCTAGCAACACACATCTCTAGCGACACATCTCTAGCGACACACATCTCTAGCGACACACAACTTTCCTTCGAATGACACACAGATTGATAAACCAGGGTGTCACCCCCGCCCCTCAGTCGAGTGACATGAGACAATTTTCACTTTATTAAGTAAAACTCACACACACAAAGAAGTATTTCTCTAAACATTGAGCGAGGTCAGGTGACATCCGGTGCGGCACGTAATGGTGTCACCCCAGCCCGCGTACGAAAAAAAAAAGATTATATATATATATATATATATATATATATATATATATATATATATATATATATATATATATATATATATATATATATATATATATATATATATATATATATATATATATATGTATTCGGCTATTTACCGAACAATAGCAAAAACATTTGTATTCGCTGTTTTACCCAATTAACATTTATATATATATATATATATATATATATATATATATATATATATATATATATATATATATATTCCATATACACTTGTAAGTATGTGTATATGTATATGTACATGTATACAATTTTTTTTCTTTTGAATGTATTTCATTTTTTTTACCCCCCACCCCCCCCCCCCCCCCCCACCCAATGGATTAACATATAGTTTATTACGATTCTCAAGCAAACCGTTTTCCTCAGGCATATATATTGCAACATTGCACTGGTGACTGCTTTAAACTGTGCTCAATACTAACTATTTGTATCTATATTCGTTAGTAAATTCAGCTGGATGTTGCATGTTTTCTTTATCATTAGCAGGTTTACGTCATGGTGTCACCCCCCCCCCCCCCCCCCCATCCACCCGTTTCGGGATTTGACTATTTAATTCACTCTAATTAATCATTTAATTAAGTGAAATTATCATTTCTGTATATATTTTGCTATTTTTTGCCTTGGTGTCACCCGGTGCGGCCCGCAACCCACTAAATTTTCTGAAAGAAACACTGGGTTAGGGTAATTAGGAATTAAACCACTTGGTCTTAAGTACTATACTACCAGCCGACTAACAGTCAGTGTTTCTCTCTGACTTTCTTTCTTTTTATCTCCAGGGAGTGGGGGATCGGCACTTGAAACTTTGGGGTCGGACTAAAATTTAAGGGGGGGGGGGGGGGCGGACACTGGTAAAAGTATATATTTTCTATATAAATTCTATTTCGTTCGAGGGGAAGGGCGCTGCGCCCCCCCCCCTCCACCCCCCCCCCCCCCTCAGAACACTGCTCACTATAAGCTACAGCGATTATCATGAAACCCACATTTTTTGTTCTAAAAAAAATAGATCTAGATCTATATTATATTCAATATTAACTACAACTAGTCACTAATCCAAATGCACAGTTTAATTTTACTATAAGTATTTTCCCCCAGTTTGGTGCCTTCTGCTTTCCGCACTCGCTCAATCGCTTTGTGACGCTATTTTTATTATTACCTAGTAACTAGCACCCTCATTTCTTAATTTACTAATTGTGTAAAATAAATGTTAATTGGGTAAAACTGCGAATACAAATGTATTTGCTATTGTTCGGTAAATAGCCGAATCGTTTTAAAATGAATGAAACTAATGAATTTAAAATTGTGTCTAGGAAAAAAAAGAAGTTTGGAAAACAAAACATAGCAGAAAGGAATCCCGAAGCACGAAATAACAACAGCCTTTCCGAAATTACAAATTACAAAAAACGTATAAATATTTGCATGTACGGTAGGCCTAAAAATAAATCTAGATCTAGAGGTACCTAAATCTAGGTCCTAGCTAGATTTAGCTAGATCTAGATCTAAAATCTAGATCTAGAATCTAGTAGCAGAGCTAGATTTAGAATCTAGCTAGAATCTATCTAGATCTAGATCAGTGTTTCTTCCAGCCAGACTTTTTTCTCCGGGGGGGGGGGGGGGGGGGGGGGGGGCGGAGGACACTTGAAATTTTCAGGGGGGGGGGGGACGGGACGATCTGTCCGGGATTCAAAGGGTCGATTCTAAATATCAGGTAATCTATCGTTTTGGGTACGTAAAATCGCCCGCGACTTGTAATGTGAAAACCAGGTGACTCCTTAAATTTTAATAATTATTTCACATTTTGAGGAGGATTTATATTTTTTAAAATACAAAAATGTTTCCTTGTTTCATTTATGTACCTGTTTTTAAAGAATTGAATTAAAACTTTTCAGTAATAAATGAAGACTAGCGATGTTTCCAACAGATGCAACCATGCTCATTTACTATAGCAGCCATCTTGTTTAAGTTTTATTTTATAAGCTTTTAGCGCGAGATCAGAGGGAGGCCACTCTATTTTACAAATGGCTGCTGTTTATATAGCAAATCTTGCTCGCAAACACTGCTGTTTAAAGTTAATTTCTGGCCTATATCGATATATTTAGCCATTGATTTAGGTTTATTATTCATTTATCTATAATATTTGACACAAACATATGACAATACACTTCTATTAAAGCCTTGACAATGAGGTAACGTTTTCGTACATTAATAGCCGCGGGCGATTTTACGTACCCAAAACGATAGATTACCAAATATCATCCTTAATATTTTCTATATAAATTTCATTTCGGTCGGGGGGGGGGGGGGGGGGGCGGTACTAGAGATGCCTGGAAGAAACTCTGATCTAGATCTTTAAATTATATCATTATTGCTCACCAACCTCGAGGCGGGGCCGGTTGCTAACAACAACATCCATGACATCCACATTGAACCGATGATTTTTCAGCCTAATTGCAGTGACCTTCTTAGAATTACTTTTAAAAATGTTTACCGCAAACAAAAAATCTTAACATTGGTGCTCCTATCGCCTACTCACGTTCTTGTCAACAGGAGAGACATCCTGTCTCTGTCAACGGCCACTGTCAGTTCATCAAGAGAGTATTATGATGAACTTTATTATAAGTATGACAAACGTGCTTGGGGTCATTTTGAGTGTATATAATCTTCTCAGTTGGGAGAAATATTCATCCACATTGTTAATAATGGAAGGCCATTACCTTCCAGTCTTCTTAGTCTTTATAACTTTGTATTAGTGTAGAGGCGAACTTGTAGAAAGTGTAGAAGTATAAACAATTTAAAAAGTGTGATTTTTTTAAAAGTCATTTTAATTATAAACATTTTTAAAAATTAAAAAAAAAAATTTATTTACAAAATGAAAAAAATCATAGTCAGCTGTGATAATACAAAAAATTTTTTTTACAACAATACAAGCAACACCTTGATACAGACTTTTGTTGAAAATAATATGTTCGATGTTTTAAATGTATAATCTAAATTTTATTAAAGAAGAAAAATAAAAATAAAGGCATATTCAAATGTAGAAAGGGGCGGTGTGGTCGAGTCGGTAAAGCTCGTGGTTGCTAAACCGAAAAGTTTCGGGTTCGAACCCTCGGGCAGATGAGGCTCGTTAGCTGTGGACAGCCACTCCTCTAGGAGAGACAACTCCAAAATCAAACGACTACTGCCTTGTAGTTTGTTCTTGGTTGGGCAAAGGCTATGGAAGCAAATCCAAAAAGAAAAGCAGGCTGAAATCGGAGTCAATGGCCTCAATGGTGCATAACCAGTTGACACGTAATCCTTAATTGTGATGGAAGCATGGTCGAGTCGGCAAAAGCTCATGGTTGATAAATTCGAAAAAAAGTCTCGAGTTCAAACCCTCTGGCAGATAAGGCTCGATCCCTCCCAACACTAAAAATTAAGAACGAAGAAGAAAATGTAGAAAAACATTTTTAATTATGCAACTGGAAAAGTGTTTATAGTTGTGACAAGAATGCAATTAACAATGACGTCACATGCTACATGTTTACACTACGGAAAGAACTCAACACTAATGGCGTCATCTTCCGATTTTAGAATATAAAGAAATGAACTATTTCATTCAAATTTGATTTAGATATAGATTCTATAAATATATGTATTAAGACGCACACTATTAAACGAATACAATTTTCTCAGTCAAACTAATACAAATTACTTTAAAAAACAACATGACCATTGAATAGCCGGATTTTTAATGGAATCATTTGAGTCTCTTCAGTGGCGTAGTGAGGTCGGGTGTCACCCTGTGCGGCACTTAATGGTATAACCCCCCAGAGGCATAGAGACCCTTCCCGTGGACAAGCTGTCAAATTTTCGATTAGCACCCCCCCCCCCTCACCTCAAACTTTTGCACCCCCCCGTCAAGTTTTTCTCTATATATTTTGCTATTTTTTGCCTTTGTGTCACCCCCCTAAATGGTGTCACCGTCTGCACCCCCCCCTCAATACGCCTCTGTGTCTCTTAGTCATTGTGTGCATTTAATATGGTGTTCTGTTGACTAATAATGTATATAATTTGGTTTTAATCTTTTTAATACGTATTGGTAGCCTATGTTATTTTAAATGTGTCGGATTTTTAGCTATTTAATTATTTCTTTGTTTTGCCACTAATATGTTCAATGTGTAGTAAAGCACATCGCGTTTTAACCAATAACTTATTTTATAAAATATTTTTCTCAAACATGTATAACATTAAAATATATAGGCCTATTATTCATGTGTAACTGGTAACGACAGCTAGTACATTTATATATAAAGAGAGAGAGAGAGAATAAAAGCTGTAATAAGCTTTTTTTAATTCTGCAAAATATTTAATGTGTACCATTATTCTTTATAACATTTTTGTCACTGCAATTTCAAATTTGTTTTAGAAGCCTTAAGAGTGTTTACTTTTTATATTTACAGACAGGACTTAAATCTGTCTTTATTCTTTAAAGCTTCATTTGGTAAGTTCTAATGTTAAAGTTATAACTAGGGATGATGTGGGTCAATATTGAATTATTTTTTTATAATGTCTTCAAACTTAACATTTTTTAAAATTAAGTTTTTATGTGTAAACAATTAAAATTATTTTAATGAAGTTATGTTTAATTGACTCTCTCCACAAAAGCAATATTTTCTTCCCCTGTAAGAAATTATTAAGGCTTTTGGTATTTTTATCAACATTTTTAAAGTAAATTTTCAGATCTCATTAACAATGCTCTTTCAACCATTAAGTCCAACCACAGACATGATCTTGGTCAGTATACTATTGTTATAATAACCTGTTTATGCATTTAATGATGTGAATTTAAACTTTTGGTGTAGATAGAACTACCATCAAAGGAATTATTTTTATAACAATTTCTGTTCTGCACTATAAAAATTAGAATTTATTATCATAGTAACATTGTATTGTTTGACTAAATCATTCTAAAGTAAAGTTGCCAGTTACATAACTTGGCTTTGTTATTGTTTTTTAAAGGTAAACCGTTGGATAAGTCTGATCCAAAACCCAGGTTGGCACAAGATGTTGGCACTGCACTCAAGTTTTTATCATTGGAAGATGTCTCTGTAACAGAAGAAAAACAAGTGTCTACAGCATTACAGACACCATCTCAAGTTCATTTACTTTGCTATGGGCTTGGCAACTTTACAACATGTTTGATTGCAAGATACCAATTGGCCTTTTTGTTATGTCTAAAGGAAAAACTTGGAGTGAGCACAGTCTAGTCAACTTGATATGTATTTTTTTTAAAAATATTTTCACTTATGTATAAACCCCATTTTTAAATATATAAAATTATATATTTCCTCTTCTCTCCAGTTTGTAATTTTTAATATTACATCATTTCTTAATTTTAAAAAAATTATTTTAATTATTGCTTTAATTATTTCAGGCAACATGTACTATGTGTTCAGTGTATGATCCAGTTTTCACAGAGGAAGAAAAAGATATCCTGAAGTACTACCAGTGTGAAGTTATAATGCACAATGAGGTATTATTATGTACAAACATTGATATGTGTTGTATTTTTTAAGAGGCAGGTCTCTACACTTGAAAACTCACCCATGCAATAGATTAACACCATAAGTAGCACGCAATATCTAAAAAGAGGATTGTCTGCCCCATAAAAGCAGCAATCTGTGACCATATTTTACAGATGATAGCAAGTTCTAAATCTTGTTAACTCCCCTTAGTTTAAAAACTTTATTATCTACCCCAAATAGCCTTCATTAGATCTAACAGCTCTACAATTGTAAACATTCTTATGAACCACAGCTCACCAGACTTTTAGGGTGATAGCATCTAGCTCTTTTATACAAGTTATCTCCCCGTAGTTTCATAACCGTTTAATTAGTTTTTAATGACTAATTAAACTAATTAAATTTAAAAAATACATAGACTTGTTCTGTCATCGAAGTCAGTGGAACATATCTAGAAAGTTTGAACGAAATTGCTGCATTAGACGTGGATCAAAATTGAGTTACAAGATTTGCCACAGATAGCCTTTGCGAACTAAATAAAAGCTTGTAAAAATAACTACCATCCATAATTTGAAATCCTTACCATGACTTTTTTTCTGCTCTAGCTAAAAATAATTGAAGTATTTTGTAGTGAGTTACAATTAACAAACTGAATCCCTGAATTCAGCTTGTAACATTAAACATTTTAAAAATTTAAACATTAAATCCTTGTAAAATATTTGACATACATGAAATTCTAGGAAGCCAAAAGGGAATGTCTTGTACCAACTGTAGCTTTTTTACCCCACTGTGGAAAAGCCATGTACAACAACCTGTTATGGAAGAATCTTGTAGCCAGAGAAAATACACTCCATAATTTGATATTGATAGGAAACAGCTTTTCACATATGGTTGAAAGGTAAGTTTATACTACCAGTAAGATAACTCCTGCCTTTTAGATTAACATACTTTTTAAAAATTATTATTGTCAACATGTTTTAATTTCAATCTTTTAGATCTCCCTTAAATAATCTCAAAGAAACTGGAAACTATATTTTATTGGTGAGTACATTATTTTCCTAATTTTATAAACTGCTTTACTGGCAGTAGAGAACTTTAACTTAAAAAGTTAAATATCTACTATTTTTAAACTTTTAATATGCAGCTTCAGCCCTACACAAGGGAGGTAAAACTTCCAGAGACATTTCAGCATACTGATGTGTTCAATGATACAGCAATCCACATATTTTCTACACCAGAATCTTTTGGTCAAAATGATGTATTTCAAGAGCCTTTCTATCAATCAGATGATGTAGAATTGTGTAAAATAAAGGGCATTTAAATAGTTAACACCCCATTTTTGTTTCTTAAACACACATAAAAACTTGAACATGAGAAATAATATTACAATGTTTTATTAAAGTTTCTAATGGAAACACTCAAAGGCTAAAATCTTTTAAAATCAAGAAAGGTTTCAAAGAATCATTTAAATAAATTAAATCTGGCAATGTGTAAGGTGACAAACAGTTGGAGGGGAAACATTCATAGATGTAGGGGTGTGAGGCCTCACATTACAATGGCATTAAAATAAAGCATTCAAATGTAACAAAACAACACATTTTAAAATTTGTGCTCTGTAAATTATGAAGAAAAAAAAACACAATGTACAATGAAGTATTCTTCACCGGAAACAAAAAAAAAGTTAGGTATTTCAAACCTGAACATTATATTCTGCACATCTTTATATGAACCTTCTAAAACATTCTTTCATAAATATTTCAAAACCTTTGTAAAAGTTTTTTTTAAATATCAAACAACTTTATTATAAGAAGAAAATGCATAAAAAGTTAAAATGGTAAAACTTTAGACTTTATGTGCAGTAATTTAAAAAAGATCTTTTTCTTAAAGTTAAAATAATAAATGAACATGCTCAACAGTTTGGTTTTAATTTTCTATATATATCTAATATTTGATGTGATATGTAAAATTCTAAAGCATATTCAGCATTTAAATTTGTACTATGTAAAATTCTATTTTTTTTTGTATACTAAATTTAAGTTTGTATACCATCAATGGTCATCAAGTTGTGCTTCCAGTCATCACGTAAAGTATGTTCAAACAGCGCAGCACGGTTCTGGTTGTCAACTCTCTTGACCCAATGTTTGTACATACCAAATGCACATGTATCTATAATTTTGCGTAAGGCCTTTAGTCCATAAGGATTATTACGTACAGTTTCTATAGATATTGGCTGTGGGTGCTTGTAACAGAAGTTTAGGCGATTATAGAAAACCACACAATATACACCAGCCTGAGAGAAAGGAAATTTCTTAGATTAAATATATCAACATATTTTAGAGATAATTACTTCTAATGTAGTGATAAAAATACTTACTCTAAATTTCCTACGAGCATTGAACTTGTGTAACTCAGCTATCTAAATACAGAACAATTTCCAAGGTTAGCAATTAAACACTCTTAAAATAAACCTTTAACTAAAAATCAAATTCAAAAGCAATTTCAAAAACAAATATTGCAACATATGGTGTCAAAAAAAGGTTAAATGTTCATATTAACTTTATTTAATATACTAAAAGATGGCCACTATTAAAATACTAAGTGGCAGCTGAGATCTATTTGAAAATAATTTTGGCCACAACTTTGATGAATTTTTAAAGGGCTTTGTTATATAGAATTAAGTTTTAATTTATTTTCTTTCAAGAGGATGATTATAAGTTAACAAATGAGCAGTATTATTATTTAAGATTCACAATTGGCTAGAATAATTGTATTCAAATTTATATAAATACAAAATGATCAGCAAAGAAAACAAATAATTAAAACGTTAACTGGTCAAATGAACTTTTTTGTTTGCAAAAATTTACCTCTAGAAGATTTTTTACCGATATTGATAACACAGCAATTGCTGGTCTCCGCTTTTCATGAAAATACAGAACAACTCATCACTTTTATTTTTAAATATTGATATTATAATGTATTTTGAGGACTAGAAAACTTTGGATGTGGGTAGGACCACTCAACTGAGGTTAGCCAGCACATTTAGATGTGACAAATATTTTGCTTCTTGCAAAAATACTCAGTATTGACAAACAAATGTTAGCCCGTTGGATATCAAATATAACATTTCCAAGTATTTTATTTAGATAATTCTTAATCAAGTTAATCCACATAAAGCTGCTTGTTCACACATCTATTGCTGCTAAAATAATAACTTTAACAAATAACTACTCACCATACTATGAAAGAATGGGTGTGTTAATGCTTGTTTGGCTGTTAACCTCTCTTGTGGATTTAAAACAAGCAATTTCTGAATCTGAAAACAACAAACTTACATTACTTACAAGTATGACACAAACCTGAAATTTGGTAAGGAGATAGTTCTGGTACCGCAGCAGACACCTGGTAAAATACCAGATTCTCAGAAACAGTGTTTTTTCAAGACTTTTTTCTTGGGGGGGGGGGGGGGGGTGCGCCTGGAAGAAACTCTGCTCAGAAATATAGTAAGGGGTTGAAAATTGGCCCAGCTTGACTTATCTTTAGCTGCATGAAATGTGTCACATAGGCACAAACAATAGGCTACAATGTGCTCATAGCCCTCATTTTGTTTGCTGTGCAACTACTACTTAAAAGAGAACTATGTGATACAAGTAATTTTGCTTGCAGTATAAATGAAGTATTTGATAATCAATAAATATATGAATAATGAGAGAAAATAATTCTTAAGTGATATTTACCAGGTTTTTGGGTGGTTCTGTTATATCATCCCATTCTGGGCTGTTGAAAGTGTAATCTGCACTCATAATAGCTCTCAACATCATCATCTGACGTCTGTTCCAGAAGGGTGGAGCACCACACAATCTGTTGATAATTAATTATTTGAAATCTATTTGCTGTCTATCACAACTATGACATCTTAGATTAGAAGAAATAAATAATTTATTATTAAAAAGTAAAAATAATACTCACAGTGTATACATGATAACACCACAAGCCCACCTGAAAGTATAATAAAATTTACATTGTGGCATGAACTTTTTGTAATAAAATTATATTAGGTAATTATAATAAGATCAGGCAAAGTACAGATAATTTTGACCACATAACAAGTTTTTCCTAACAATTAGTAAAGTGAGGTTGCATTCCTCCATTCTAGAGTGTGCCTACACTATCCATACTAGTCAGCAAATTCAAACTTTAAAAAGAGTGAAAATAGTTTATAATATTTCTTACATATCCACTTCTTTCCCATATCCAGATACATTCTCATACATTGAGTGTGCCAATACCTCAGGGGCCAGGTAACCTGGTGTACCACATAGTTCTGTAAGGAAGAGAGAATACACAGACATATTTTAGGCCTACAAGGTGTACAATTTCTCTGGTGAAATGAGGTGGTGATCTGAAGAAGCTCAACTTTTTTTTGGTAAATAATTTATCAACTTGTAAAGATACTAACCATCCAAGTGCAGAATCAAAAAACAATTGCAATAGAGTCCCATAAATATTACAATCTGTATACCAGAGTATTGTTCACAAGAAAAAATTTAATTCTAGTACATTGTAGATAGCATTTTATTCATGTAACAAGTTACTGTGTTGTGGTCCACTCCTAGTGGCTTTGCTAGTCCTATTCCAAACTTTAAAATGTGAAATTATTAAGTGACTTCTACTGATGATAAGCTGGCTATTAGCAAGTGTATTTCAAACTAAATATAAAATGGGCCTACATTAGAGTTAACTCCCCTGTATACTTGAACATTCAACAATTATGGATTATTCTCCTGCATTTTATTTGATATTACTGAAACAATATAAATAATTCAGAGAGAGAGGAACAAAGGACCTTTCAGAAAGTTACTTCATACTTTGAGATCCTGCTGATTAATTAGTAATTAGCAACTGTATAGAGTTTAATAAAGAGTTTATTTGTGTTCCTGATTTATAACATCATAGCTGAAAAATACTTATACCTGATTTCCTCTAATTTCTAACAACAAACAGTGATTCCACCTTAAATCTGTATAAAGTCTAGAGTATTGCAGAACAAGGTAGATCAAACTTACCAACTAATTCTTCACCAGGTTCAACAACTGTTGCAAATCCAAAATCTGATACTTTGATGTTGAGGTTATCATCAAGCAAGATGTTCTCTGGCTAAAATTTGAATTGTCAAACTAATTAGGATATCATGTCATCTCTATTTCAGTTAATATTTAAAATCTAGCTTTCATTTTACATAGATCTATCCAGTACAAATATTGTAATACAAACTGAATCAGTAAATATATAGATAAAGTAAATGAATTATGAATAATCAGATAATTTAATATTTGTATTTATTTTACCTTAAGGTCTCTATGTACAATATCCTTATCATGAAAGAAATCAACTGCTTCTATAAGTTGGCGCATAAATATCCTGAAGAAAATAGTTTGATTGTAAAATATAGTATAGGTACAAATGAAGTTAAAAATTAAGCAGATACATTGTATTAAATGCATTTTAATGTTTTCCTTATTTTATGACTCATGTATAATTTGAAGTATCAATGTAGTGCTATAGTTAATACCACATTTAAAAAAATTTTTGAATTGTTTATTTTTAAACTTACCTAGTTCTCTTCTCAGACAGCGATACAACTGATGTAAGGTAATCAAACAGTTCACCTTTCTTACAACTGGTAACACACAAAAGTTAGTTTTATCTAAATCTTACAACTGGTATTAAAATAATGTTCTTAAACAAACAAGTTTAATTAGTGTGAAAAAATCAAATTTGTGACTATAAATGAACACAAAGTAACTAAGCTTCTAGGACCAATTATTGTAATTTAGGCAGAAACATGCTTACATCTCAAAGACTAAAAAGATAAACGTTGGGGTTTCAAACACATCATGAAGCTCAACTGAAACAAGAGATGAAAACATATGAACAACTACTAGGATTAAATAAACTTGATGCTTTTAGCATAAAAAGGTATAGGATTTTACATTTTTTTAGCAGTATGTAATGTAAAAAGAATATGAATTCATTACTAATGTTAGGATGGCCGGCACACATTCGTAGTATTCTAATCTCTCTGTAGGTGTCTTTCTTGGTTTGTTCCACCTGGGCTGTCTCGCCCTTCTCTCCACTAATATCAATTATCTTCACAGCAAATTCTTGACCAGTTGTTTTCTCTACAACCCTCCTGACAGTGCTGCTTATACCTCTGAAAGTTAAAAAAAAAACACAACTTAATAACTTGTTGAAATGGGGGTGTATTTAATCTGGATACTGTTTAGCAGCATAGTTTACATTTTCTGTAAGCTAATAGCTCCTCAAGGCCAGACATGCGTAACACCAAAAGTATAAACAATAGTTTCAGATAGGGAAACTGAAATAATTTTAACAGAAAATGTATGGATGATTCACATTCTGTATTTGGATTAGTATTATTTCAAATGTTTTCAAAGATTGTAAATTATTTAAAATGAACTCAGTTAATGCACACTGTGATAGTAATGTGAGTAGTGTAAGACACCTTGAATGATGCAAGTCACTCCCAAATATGTATCACAGAGTGACTTCTTAATGAGAAGGGTCACCACAAGCAGTAAATTATTAAAGTTATCATCTATTATTATTATAATTTATGTATTACACAGATATTTGATTTGCTATACCTGGCACTAGCTTAGTTTATACCAAAATATGATCATGTTTAGAGTTCAATGCACTTTAGTACAAAAATTGCTTTGAAAGATATGCAATTAAAAAAAGTGTTCATGTATTAAGACAAAACACTAACAATTCAAACTTATAATTAAAAATTCATACAATTAATACATTTTAAGATAAGTAGATCTATAGTGTGAAAATCATTTTTGTAAAATCATCTTTAAAAAAAAATTGATATAAACGAGATGCTACTAAATTTGAAAGTAATGAAAGCATCAAGTAATAAACTCTTAATAATAAACCTGCATTAAAAAAAGACAACTAATGAGAAAATAAAACTCCAGGGCTGGTTTTAAAATGCTGAGTTCTTGTGCACTATAAATATGTAAATTACAAAGAGTTTTAAGACTTACTTTCCTAAGACTTGCTTGATATCATAATTCCTCAATTGTAAGGAATATACAACCTCTGCTGACAGATCTTCATTTTCATGATCCAAATCATGCAACTCATACAAGAGTTCTTTAGGTATTGGTGAGACAGGTGTATCACAGTACATGAGATCTCTCCCTGAGACCTGTAGAACTCTCCTACTTCTCAGGTTTACATGACTACGACCTCCACTCAGTCTGTTTTGAATTTTGCTACTAAGTGTTTGGGGGCGGGGAGACAGATTCACAGAATCCTCTCCTTCACTCTTTAGAAGGCTGAGATCTTTTTTAAGAATGTCTACACTCCTAAACTCTACATCCACATTATGTACACATTTTGATTCACAACTGTTATGATTGGAAGAACTAATCACCGGTGAGTTAGACTGTTTTCTCCTAAGTGATGGAGAATTATTAACATTTTTGCCAGATTGTTCATCAGGAGTAACCACCAATTTGGGAAGAGAAGCAGTGATAGGGCTATTTGTATTTGCAGCAGATGTTGAGGAATGTAATTTTTTCACTTCAGTTCCTCTTCCCTCACTGTGATCAATTAATTTACAAGGCTCAGTGTTTTGAACAGCCGTCTGAAAATTGTTGTTAATAGCCACTAGATCTGTCTGACCACAAGTAAAGCTTCTTTTTTTAGCCTCAAGAACACTGGGAGATGTTGAATGTTCTTGGGCACAAGTAGATGCAGCATGTTGGATATTCTTATTGCACCTACAATCAGCATCCATACAAAACGGACTGCTGTAGCTTCTTGGCCTGTCAGCTGTTTGATACACTAGATCATTGTGTGTCCTGGGAGACATTTCACATGGAACTCCTTGTGGACTTCTACTATCCTGTTGACAATCTTCTAAATGACTAGAATTCAAGTTGCCTTCAACTATCTCAGAATCAACCAACACATTGGCATTACCATTATCTTCAACAAGGCAATCCATTTTAATAAGCTGTTAGTTTGTTAAAGTACATCATTGATGAAGTTCTTGTTACATTCTACCTGGTATCAGCCACACAGCAACATGGCAGCATAATACACAACAAGAAAAACTTGTGTTGCTTCTGATGGTAATCCATGAATAACAGTATTACCACAAGTTATAACAGATTTCTATATTGAAACAATTTAAAGTTAATTTAAATTTTTTAATCTAACTTTTTACAAGTTTATGCAACACTTTAAATTGATGTCTTGAGTGTAAGTGGCAATTCATGGTGCTATAAATAGAAAGTTACATGTTATTTAGAGCTCTTTCTCAAACCTCAAGATTTTTCTGACACAAACACCTACAAGATTGACTAGAAACACAAGGGTCACTATCTAGTGTTCTAAAAGTGAGAAAAAATAGACCTAACAGTCCTAACTGCAGAGTAAAATGCTAACTTGTCAAATAGAAATATAGGAACAACCATAGAAAGCAATCCATTTTTTTACCAACTTCTATCCTGATACATGAACAAAATGGCAATTCAATTAACATACAAAAAATATGTTGAGAAAAACTGGCTAATTTATTGTCATCATGGATGTCTGCTATAAATAACTATACTAACTAAATTTTTAGATTTACATATATTATTAGATAGATAGATCTAATCACTTAAAATGATTTGACAAGTGGCATGCACATTTGGCTATGAATGTAATAATATAATACAGCTACATACAGAACTCAGTCTAAACTACTTTCTTTATGGTTTATGCTAATGTCAATTCATTTAGAATATGTCAATAATTTACCAAAGTATCTAAGTATATCCAAAAAAAGACACTTAAACTAAAGGCTATCCCAAAACTAATTAATTATTAATTAATGAGCCCACAATAAAGCCTACTAATAGCCTAGTGCCATCCAGTTAATTATAGGGCCTATGAAATATTTGTATAGGCCTAACACTAACATACGGTCACAATGTTTTTAGAACACATGACCCGAGCTAACACTAGGCCTATATGAAGGGGGAAGTAATGAACTGTGCTATTGTTGGCAACCTACTGTGACGAAATGAATATTTATAGCCTGGCCTCACTGACTGGTTGTATGGGGGATGGACTTGTCGGAAACAGGAGAGTTAACCTAAGTTTTTATTTGTCCTGTAGGCCTAACTCGACGTCTTTCTAATTTTAACGACGTTATTTCCGCTCTTTTTTATTGTAACAAAACGTGTAGCATTCATTCAACACAAGTAGATTAAAAAATACACAAATAGAGATCTAGTAATATTAAATATAGGGCCTACGCGGTCTACTTAGGTCCTAATTAATAAATAATACTATTATTATCTGATCGAGAATTTGTGTTAGTCTTGAGCTTGACTCTGGTCGATTACATTTTTAAAAAAAATTGGAATTTAACCGTATAGAAAGAGTATAGAAAATAGCTAGAACTATAGGCCCAAATTTCAACATCGCCAGCAGGATCTAGACTTAGATCAACTATTTTTAAATTTTTACTGTTTTAGAATAACTGACGTAAAAACAAAATAATATAATAATATAATTTATATCACTGAAAATCACACCACAGCTCGGCGATGATGAAATCGTTGTTTACAAAAGAGATAAGTAGTCCAGAACGATAATCCAGCAGTAGGTCTACGACACCTCTATTGACTAATGTAACACACATGAAGAGTAGACCACACGACCAAAGCTCGCGCGTGATGGCCACTGGCCTACATCACATAGACTAGCTTGAACCCAAACAGTCAGCTAAAGGGTTTCGTCATGATCGACCAGCCACTACAGGGGAGGGGGGAGATGGCACACCTCTCGAGTACTTTGCCCTAGTTACCCTTCTCTCCCCCACTCATTTTCTAGGCCAGGTCACGGCGTCATAAAAAAAAATCGACCAACATAGAAGTGGGCTGTGTACAGTAGGCCTACATATACACTGCATGCTGCATCTAGCCCACATCTATGGCATCAAGAAAAAAATCGAAGATGGCATACATCTTCAACGTCATTCTTATGTGCTCGGTCACGCTGACCTTTGACGGGGCCTGGCAACTACTGCAAACTTTTTTTAAGCCATGGCGATCATAACATGGTACATTATAAATTCGAAATGACAAAAATACAACGCAACACGGAAAATTATTATTTTGAGAAACAATTTAAGGGCTAGAAAATAGTAACGTAATATCGAGGCTAAATAGGACGTAAAATCACCAGTTTCTTTCAGATATTTGTCTCCAGTTAGGTCTGTGTGTGGGTAGGGGGTCGGCACTAAACGCTGCCAACCACAGTTAAAACAATACAGAAAACATTGTAGACCCCACAGTGGACATTGTTGGTACCACTTGACCAGTAGTCCTATAAACAAGAATGATGGAACTCTGATAGATCAGATGATTATAACCCTACCAGTTCTAAAATATGGCCAACAGAGGCGTGGCTGGGGGAGAGTGGCTTCCCTGGGTGCCAACCCTAGGTAGGGGGGGGGGGGGGTGGAGGTAAAATAAGGTAGAAAAAAATTAAAAGTTCATTCTAAGCTGCATTACTGAATGTTACACTATCAAAGTTAAGAAAATACACAACTGATTTGCGTTCCAGTGACATTACAATAATAACTGTTGCAGGATAGTGACTGGTAAAAATGCACTCAACCTTTCCAAATGGGGGGGGGGGGGACACAAAAAGTAAAAATATATCAAGCTTTAGAGTGCTCTCAGGCAATACTTAAACTTAGCATGGTGTCACATACACAGGGCAGCCAACAAACAACTTTAAAAATGATTCTGTTCTACTTTATCTAGAAAGAATTTGATCAACAATGGAAGTTAAGTCAAAATAAAAACATTTATAATATACGTAATACGTAAAATATATTTATAGCAACTGTAGACTAACATTTTGATGAGGCTAACAAATAATTTAAAGCTGGTAAATTTGATAGATACATTGTAGCGTACATTTCATGATTCTTATTATAATGCAAAGTTTGTTAATTTCAGTCTGTGGCCTATTTCTAATTATTTAAGGTAGAGTGGACTTTGATGCATCATTGGTGGGGTGGTATGGTTCTGTGGGGGATGAAAAGGGGAAGTGTAAAAAAAAAAAACAAGCCAGATGTACAAAGCTTAGTTTCAAAGAATTCTAGTACACATCAAATCTGGTTAGCACAACAGTATTCTGCCACTCTAATGGTAATTCATGTTACAATGGATATATTTACAGAAGGGATAGATTCAAATTGCTTTAATATGATTTCACTCTTCAACAGAAAATAAGCAAGAAAATTGCTTAGTCTGTAGTATTGCATTCTTTTTCATGTTATTTATTAGATAATAATTTGGGTTAAAACTATGGTACAATGTTCTATACGTGCATCATGCTATAGATTATAATTTATTTAAATAATACTCACTTTCCTAAAATTTCTTTAGGTTCATACTTTGCATAAAATTCTTTTGCTTGATCCCGAGAAGGGAGATCATCTGGTTCGTCTTTTGTCATGGTCATATCTTCTGAATAAAATGAGACTCAATCCTTTTCCTATAGTACTGGGATGTTTAAAACATCTTATAGATCCCTAGTTTACTGGCTACTATCTGAAAAAAGAATACTTATTTTAAAAAGTAACTTATTAAATGTAAGCTATTTAGAAAAAGTTACCTAGTTATTTAAAATTTGAAATTTAAGTCCCTTGAGTTAAAATGCAGTATATCCTACTTTACACTTTATTGATTAGTCCTATGGATCTCAACTGCTTTCATTTCACATATACCTTGACTTTTGAAAAGGCTATTCCATTCATACAAATGCCCCCCCCCCCCCTGCTCTAAACCCAGCCCCCATGAAACTTTGTTTTTTATTCATGTTCTTACTACACCTACACAAGCTTACTAACGAAACTGGCATTATGGAGACAAACTCAGACACATGATACTGTTGATCCTACATAATTGTTGGTTTTTTTATAACTGTGTTCTCTACTAATGAAAATAATGGTCATGTTTTTTTTCTACCCATCTACTAACAACAGTGGTTCTTAACCTAAGTTAGATTGAACCCCAGGGGTTTGATGAGTCAGTTTCAGAGGTTCTGTGAAGGTCAGGACAGACACCCAATATGATTTGCCATTGGATTTTGTCAGTGTGGATGATAGAACTAGTGGCAGATGACAGCTTGAATACAACAGTGAGATAACATGTATTGATATCATGATATTTCTAATATTGTGGAACCCTTAATGCCAAGTCATACATAAGTCATGAATCGTATTAATGCCACCTATAGAGGCATGCACTGATATGTGCTGTAACAAACATACTAATTATTTCTATATCAGGGCCCAATAGTTGATTAATGGCTGGCATGATGGTGCGTCGGGTGATTTTATTCTTAATATTTTAACCCCTTCATCCTTATACTATGTTGAGTAATAAAAGAAAGTGGTCAGACGAGTATGTACAACATGGATTCACATGTATAACAGAACTTGATGGGAGTCAGCGGCCTAACTGCATGATTGGTAATGTTGAGCAATTCTAGTCTAGCACTGTCAAAACCAAGAGACTGCTTCATTAAGCTGCATGAAGATGGGAAAATACAAGAACACTATGCTCACTGAATTCAAAGTGAAGATGAACATTTATAAACTGGCGTCTGAAAGGGACCAGCAGAAGTCACACAGATTTGCAATAAATATTTATTATTTTGTTTTTGTGTGAAAACCATATTTTAGTGGCTCTGTTCTTTGAACCCAGTGATGTTGATGCCCGGTTCATTTAGTGCACTAATAAAATATATTCTTATATTTTGAATTGGAAAAAACTCACAATTTATTTTTTCCTATAAGAAGGGTTCAGTGAATGCCCATATCAAGCTGGTGGGATTTGTCACCTCCAAAAAGGCTAAGAACCACTGACCTACAATCATATTTGGTGAAGTTCATGAGCCAATGTTTTACACCTAAAACTGATCCCTGTCTTAACTAATACAAATCTTTGTGGCCAAGAATAAATGTTATTATTTTAATAAAATAAAAGGAAGGGTTTACAAAAAAATGGTTTGAGTGAGGTAAGGTTGTTTGGACACTGTTTTGGGTTAATAAACAAAACTAAATATGAAGCAGAGTAAAATATTTTTACAAATTTATGAATAGGCCCTAATTGATTTTTAATTAAATCAATGCAAAATGTAACTAAAAATATAAATAAACTATAGAATACCAATGTGGCCTAATTATAAACTTTAATAATAATAACTGTTAACAATCTTTCTTTATTCTGAAGTTTACACTCCATAAGGGGTCGTCCATAAATGATGTCACACTCGTAGGGGGGAGGGGGTCCGTAATTTTGTGACAGTGTGTGAAGAGGGGGGGGGGGGTTCAGATGGTGCAACGTCACACTTTTGCATTATAAAAAAAGCAATCTTAGAAAACAAATTTTAGTCGTTATTTCGCATTTTAGAAAACTGCTTTAATAAATTGTAATAGGAATTGATTAAAAGACTCTATTTTGACAGAGTTCAGACATGATTTCGGAAAAATATTGATGTTTTAAAAAAAATTCAACTGCAATTTTGAGGGGGTTGTAGGCTGAGGTGTGACGTCATTTTGGGGGGGGGGGGGGGGGGGCGCCGGCTTTTTGTGACAATGTGTGAGGGAGGGGAGGGTGGAAGGTAAAAATCTTCAAAAAAAGCGTGATGTCATTTATGGATGACCCCTAACCAGAGATTTAACCGAAATCGTTGGAAAAAACAATAATATTATAATAATATTGGTAGCCTAATTAAATTTATTTAGATCTAGTAATAGCTTACTATTTAAAATTGAAATACTTAATTTAAACAATGCAAATGAAGTTTAGTACACTTGCCCAATAAGCTAAAATTACTAATAAAGGATCCCTAGCCCTAGCTCAAAACTAAATAAAAAGCTTGAAATCTAGATCTAGAACGGCCTACTTGTTTCAGATCTTATTTTGTTTTTTAAATAATAACACCCATAGGCTTAGTAATTAATAAGCACTAGCTCTACTACTAGATCTAGATTCTACAACCTATTTTTTTTCTACAGTACAAGGCAAAGGCTAAAGTCTAAACAAACAGAAAACAGAAAAGAATGTATGTTAAGAACATCCTAGTAATTAGTATGACCGTATGATCCTTGACTAGAACTAGGGCCTAATTGGTTGTAATTATTTTAAAATCTATAAAAAAATAAATTACTGACCATAGGCCTACAGACTAATAGATCTCATTTATATTTAGAGGTGTACTAAATACAACATTCAACAGAAGGCTGCCACTAGTGACAAAATGGTATTTTTCTTACTATTTAGATCTAGATCTACTTAAAAATTCCTGTATTTGCAAATAGGTGTTTACAATTACCGATAGGAGAATTTAAAATCAATCAAAATTGTGATTCAAAACTAAGAACAGCTTATGATAATTAGTTTTAAATTAGTTTTAATGATTAGTTAACCAATTAATGATGAGCTTCTGTAATAAATGAGCCAAGCTATTGGCTTTTCAAACTCAGGGACTAAATATAAATAGTAAGAAGGGCCTATAGGAAAAATACTTAGGCTACTAGACCTTGTTTTGGTGATCTACTAGATCTACAATCAAACATGATTTGAGATTTAGGCAGTAATAAGTATTGTTTTATTAATTTTATCAGTGGTAGGTGGGACAATTTATACAACAAGAGATGTTATGTAATATAATCAAGATAGAAATTGGACCATCATGTCTAACATAGTCTACTCTAGAATCTACTTGTAGGCAAAGTGATAAAATTACACACCTTAGAATTTAAAATATAGAGTTAAGCACTATAAACCACATCTAGTCTTCTTTTTCTTCTGTTCTTAATTGAACCCATGACATCCAAAATGACAGCAATGCATTCTTCCACTTGACCACAGTGCATATCTCACTCAAGCGCAATTTTTAACATTAATAGTTTAGAAAACAGTTCAGACTGGGAATAGACACTTATTATTAATATTAGCCACAATGCTAATTGATCTTTGACTCAAATTTCAGCATCCTTTCTTTCTAGATAGATATGCTTCCATAGTCTTTGTTTATCCAAGAAGAAACTACAAGGCAGCAGTTTTTTTTATTTTAGAATTTTTTCTCCTAAATAAAATGGGTTTGCTGTGCTGAGCTAACGAGCCTTATCTGCCAGAGGGTTCAATTCAAACTCGATCTAGATATCTAGTGACTTTTTGGTTAATCAACCATAAGCCGATAAGCTCTACCGGCCCAACCACTCATCTAGCCTGCCTAAATAGTAACAAAATACTAGGTCTCTTCCAGGATCATGTTGCCGACGTTGACCCTACAACTAGTGTAATAATATTAATAATAACATTACTAACTCAATTATACTATATTTAATTTTCTGTATGCCCTATCTATTATTTAATTAGGCCTAGATCTAGGCCTAAGCCTTTTAGTTAGTAATACTAGAAATCTAGTAGGCCTATGCGTCATTGGGTTTTTAAAAATTATTATTAATTATTTTAGCCATTGTTAGGGCCTAATTAATAATTATTTTATTACTCTAGATCTAAATCTCTAATAATATATAATAATTAGGCCTAACTATTAAATAATAAATATTACTTTCTACAAACTAAAAAAAAACTTACTGGAATCTACTTACTTAGCCTACTTAGTACTTACTTAATAAAATAACTAACTTACTAAATTAGGCCTACTATCATCTAGATTTCTAGTACTACTAAACTGTAACTAAACTAAGCTAAGCCTAGGACTGTAACTGAGTAACTGTCATTTCCTAAAGCCCTGAATAGTAAATAGTTTAACATAGGCCTACCTCTTATAAAAATAAATAGCTATCCCAGTATTCGTTCAAAAGGTTATTAACACATAGAGATCTAGCACAACACAATTTAAAAATTGAACTTCTCGTACTTGTATGTTATGAAATTGCAGGTTCAGAGGACAACTCCACGAAAAGTAGGTGAGTAGGTTAACCTTTCTTTTGGCTTAAAAGTTTTAAAAGTTGGAATACAAAAACGACATTCTAGACTGGTGATGGAAAATGTAATGATGATTTAAACATACAAGTAATATTATATCAATGAATATGGACCTTGCTACTGTGAGATTATTTAGAGAGCATCCAGGCGATGACTAAACTAGATTTGATCCACAACACATCCGATGTAATATAACGGGTGGCGATTTTCTTATCCAAGAGAACTAACTCTGTCAACATTAAATGCACTATAGTAACCAACAGTTCTCTTTTCGTCTTTTATCGTCTAGATTTAATTATTACATTTTTCTGTAACGCTGTAGGCGAGAGATTGGGGCCAGAGGCGTACAGAGTTTGCTCCAAGCATGTATTCGGGGGAGGGGGGGGGGGGGGGAGGGGCTCTGCCCCCCCCCGAAGAAAACCTACCACCCCCCCCCCCGAACGAAATGGAATTTTTATAGAAACACATATTTTTACTAGTGTCCGCACCCCCCGGAGATGTTGACCGCCCACCCCCCCCCCCCGAAAATATCAAGTGCCCCCTGGAGAAAAATGTCTGGAAGAAACACTGGAGGCGTAGCGACCCATTGCGGCGTCCGGGGCAACTTGATATTGTTATTCTCGTTGTCGTAAAGCGCCCCCCCCCCTTTTTTTTTTGGAAACGGTTGTGGGGGGGGGGCAAGGCGCAGATAACATTTAAATCAACCTAATAGTCTATTTCCTGAAATTTAACTGTGCATAATTTAGTAATGCAGGTTTTTATTTTTTATCCTACCCAGTTTGGCGCCCCCTTAGGGTCGGCGCTCGGGGCGGCCGCCCACCCGCGCTCCGCTAGCTGCGTCTCAGAGTGGGGCGGATGTATGCTATTTTAAATATTCCTCAAGAAGAAATGAATAATAATTTTAATTGTATAGTGTTTGACCTATTAATAAAGATGTCAGGTTTTTATTTTCGGCGAAGAAGTGCATTTGAATACACTGGACTCCCAAAAAGAAACCTCTTTCATTTTCAGGTCGAGTAGGTCTAACAGCAAGATTTGCTGACAACGACATACATACTTCGTTTTTTTTTTAGCTTCAAAATATGGAATATCGTAAAACCAAAACTTAAGGTCTTAGAAAGGTTGCAAAAAGTTTTAACTTGCCGCAAGCCTGTTTTACCTGAGACCAGAGTTTCTTCCAGGCATCCAGAATTTCTTCCAGGCATCTCTTCTAAAAAATTTTACCGCCCCCCCCCCCCCCCCCGAACGAAATGAAATTTATATAATTTATATTGAAAATATATACTTTTAACAGTGTCCGCCCCCCCCCCCGAAAATTTTAGTCCGCCCCCCCCCCACCCCCAACCCCCCCCCCCCCCCCCCTCCCCCCCGGAGAAAAAAGTCTGGAAGAAACACTGCCTGAGACTTGAGTGCATTTTAAGAAAATCATTTTATAAAAGCCTGTTATTTTTTAAATGTTTTATATGTTATGCTCTTTAATATATTAATTAAAATATTTATTTATAAACGACAACATATTGTTTAAATAGTTTCATTGACACGAAATATTTTTCAGGAAATCAACACACACAAAAATGACGTTTTTATATAATCTAGATTCTAGATCTAATCTAGATCTCTAATTATTGTTTGTTTTAGATTTTTTTTTCTTTTTTTTTTTTTTTTTTTTTTTGCAGTTTTGGTTTACTAGGTTACGTTTTAGACCTCAGAATCTAGGCCTAATAGATTTTATATTTAAAAAAAAAATAGACCAATGTTTATTAGTGCGATGACGGAAAGGGAAACAATATGATAGCGCATGCGTAGTTCGGGAGTAACTGTACGTGGCATTGTTGCTACATTGCAGCACTACTGTTTACTGTAGAATCACACCAGGGACTAAACAACTTTTAATATTGAAAGATGCATCTGACATTCTATTCCACCATTGGGTTGATATTATCATTGATCAAAGTTACTCATAGCTACTTCATTAGCATAGATGCACATGCTGAAGAATGTTTCTTTGATAAAGTTACATCCGGCACAAAAATAAGTTTAATGTTCGAGGTGGCAGAGGGAGGCTTCTTGGATATCGATATCAAAGTAAGAGGGGAATGAAATCTCGTTTACTAGATCTAGAAGTAGATCTAGATCTAGTAGAAATGTAGGTCTATCTAGATTCTAGATCAATGACTAGACTGGTACAAGATGTAGATTTAGAATCTATATCAAGTCAAATAGGCCTGTAGGCCTATCTAAAAAACGCATACAGCTGTCACTCAGCTGAGACTTTAGTGACTAAAAACCGGACCAAGTTCAATGATGTGATGATGTATTGTTGATTGTTTTTTAGTTGACATGGATAAATAGGCCTATTTGTTTCTTATTAATGAAATAATGTGAATGATTGAAGATGCCGATGTCCAACTACTACTAGTAAACATAACAAAATATGTGCAAACCACAAGAAAAATCAAATAGGCCTGCCTAAACATTATAAAAAAGGTATAGGCCTAGATTCTAGATCTAGGCTAATTTTAATACAGGTTGTATCGAACTTAATGCCGAGTCCAAATAGCAGCCATGGCTATAGGGCATAGGGACCCGGGTCCTAATAGCAGCCAGGGCTATTAGGACCCGGGTCCAAATAGCCACTTCCTACTTTTATTCTTAAACCAGATTGCACACACACACACACACACACCAGTCACCCCCACCACCCCAAAGATAAATTAAAATGTCTGTAAATATGAAGTGTGTTTGTGGGTAAAATTCTATAGGCGAAATGACATCGACAATCATATTCATAAGCTACACTTTTGCCCTTTTATTTTCAAATTTTCCTTTCAATTGTTATAAAAAAAATTGCTGCTTTTTTTTTTTGGCAGGCAGTTAAATCGCTATTAAAATTACTAATCCTAGACTTGTCATTTCTGTAGTCAAAATCTTAAACTTGTGCTTTTAGTTTAATATAGTTGTTCTGTTAAAAAAATATTTTCCAACTCCAAATTAAAGAACATAGCATATTTTAAAATGGAATCTACTAGGCCTATAGAGTTATTTTATTTTTCCTGTTTTAGATTTATGGGCCTGATGGAAAAATAATTCATTCTGGTGACAGGGAGTCCAATGGAAAGTATACTTTTGCTGCACACATGGATGGAAATTATAAATACTGCTTCAGCAATGCCATGTCCACAATGACACCAAAAATAGTGGTTTTCTCCATTGATATTGGTGAAAAACCAAAGGATGCAGCTGGAGAGGAAGGGGATGGTGAGCTTCTATTATTTGTGGGTTTTTTTTATCTGCATTATAAAGTTAAAAAGTATTTTGAATTTCAAGTCCTCCCTGTATTTCAGCAAACCAAAATAAACTAACTGAGATGATAAATGAGCTTTCAACAGCCCTGACAGGAGTAAAACATGAGCAAGAGTACATGGAAGTTAGAGAAAGAATACACAGATCTAGTAAGTTTCTTTCGTGTTTTATTTAGAATAAATCATTGGTATAAGTATAATAATAACTAGGTGCTCAGTAAAATCTCTGATAAATTTTTTTCAGTTAATGACAATACAAATTCAAGAGTTGTTTTGTGGTCATTCTTCGAGGCTCTTGTGTTGGTTGCAATGACATTAGGACAAGTATATTATCTCAAGAGATTCTTTGAAGTTCGTCGAGTAGTTTAATACATTTTGTATTCTTTCGGGTTCTTTTTTCTGCACTTTAACTAAACTTGATAGCTAATAACTTTTTTCACCTCAGTTATTTTTAGTTCAAAATTCTTGAAAATTAGATTAGGTATTAAGGTGCATGAAGTTAAAAACATTTAAATCTCCACACTTTAAATCCAAAGAAAAAATAAAAGATAAAGATTACCTTCTTTTAAAATATCAATATATTTAAAATAAATCATCATAAAAATTAATAAAAGCTTTCACAGTTTTTAACTTTTTTGTTATCTCTCCATTTTACTTTCTATTTTTGATTGGTCCCAGTTTCTAGGACTTAAATATGGCTGTACCAGTTGTTCACATTACTAGTAGAAATTAGCATTTCATTTTTCCTTGAATCAAACTTGATTGGTTTTTGTCCAGGTTATAACTAATCAATTGGATATATGTATTACTTGTTATTAACACAACATATTAAGAACAAAACTAGTTACTACATCATCCATCATTTGGTTATATTTTAGGAGACTTCAGCATTCTGTTGTTACCAATCATTTTTTTAATAGACTAAAGGGTAATAAATGAGTATAAAATACAAGCAACAAATTAGAATCTTAAGTTGTATGATATTTTATTCACTTTATTTATTTGATTGTTATGCATGTCATTTCGCAACTAGTAGTCTCTGGAGCAGCAAGATACTATTATAACTTTAATAAGTACATGCTTTTCTCTTCATTGGTTTGACCATAAGCAATAGCTTGTTAAGAAAAGTAGGAAACTTTGAGATAAGACATTTGTTAGAATTTTATTTTTACTTTTCATCACAAGTTTCTGTGTGGCTCCCTAAACATATGGCTAAATTATTTTTAACACTTTTATGGAAAAGGTCAAATGTGAATTAGTATAATAGTATAATATATTATACATCGCCTTCAAGTGCTGTCAAGTGAAATTACAACTTACTTCAGCAACAGCCTTTTAATTTGTAATTTATTTCATTGAATATTTGTTCTTACATTGTCATTTCATGTGGTTTTAAAGCAAGTTTGGTGTACACATCCATATTTTCATCATGGCATAGATTGGACTAATGTAGGTAGTGTGTTAGCACTTGCTAGTGATGACAGGTGATCAAAGAATAAATAATCTCTTATACGTGGATGTTGTCTATTCATTGTTTAGGAATGTTGAAATTTATCCTTGTGTCAGTGTGTTTGACTGAGTGCAATGGATGGATGGTTATGATTATATGTGGGTTCTGGTGGATACTGTAGCTTGAGCTATTGTTAACTTGTCCATTTATTATTTCTAACTTGTTATCATTTTTATCATACTGAAATAAAATATTTAATTTTCAATACTTTCAATTGTGTTACAACATGCTTTCAGTTATTTCTTACATAGCTCAACATGCATGCCATATATGTTACAACTTGTCATTTACAGCACTGTGCTCAGGGAGAAGATTAGTACTTGAGCAGATCTTGGGGTTTTTAAATGGTCAAAAACTATTTTATATGCTTATTTGGACAATGTTAGAGGCATCATAACAATATTTCCTCGCACCATAAAAATATTTTACTGTCATCCAAGTAGTGATTCTGATACATTTCACATTATCTTGCAGTGTGATAACTGAAGTCAGTTGCAAATGTGTTTGATCTTAATTATGTAATGAGCAGTAGACCCAGCACTGAAACTTTTTTAGGAGAGCTTTAACAGCAGCTCTACTGACAACATTGGCTCATCTTTGTCAAGTAGGCCTTCTCTATTGTCATTTTTTTAAAGTCTATCTACTGAGTCATCTTATACACACCCCCCCCCCCCCCTTCCCACTGTTGACCCAAAATATTTCAAATTATGTTGATTCCTAATAAGTTAATAAAGAATGAGGCATTGTTCATGTCAAAATATAGGTACAAAGGTAATTTTTAACAGCAACAATAGTAAAAATAAACCGGGAGTGATCTCCCCTAAACTTTCTCGAATATTCTTATATAAAATAACAGGGGATGGGAACTCGGGCTATAGACATGATTTTTAATCCATTTTAAATACTTAAAGTTTTAAAAATAGAATAAAATCTCGTAGACAAATTAATTGCACACCAAGTGAACGCCCAATAAAAAAGCGCATAATAGTGCGCAATATTATTAGTACTTTTAAAATGTACATTAGTTTTTTGAGAAATCGGAAGTAGCGTAAATTACTACTTCCAGTCAACTGAAATTACTCAAAATTTAACAGAAGGTAGAGGATTAGATCTTTTACTTACATGTGAAATTTCATTTATCTATCTGAAATAGTACTCAAGTTATAGGCTTTTAAAAAATTCAAAGTAGGAAAAGTACCACTTCCGGTTATCGGAAATCGCTCAAAAGTTGATACGGATCTACGATTTTGATAAAATACTTATATATGAAATTTCATCAACCTAGCTGTAACGGTACTCAAGTTATCGTGTTTACACACGGACAGACACACACACAGACAGACACACACACACACAGACATACGGACAAGATTGCAAAATTATGTTTTTCCGTATCAATGAGGTGTAACACGTCGAGATCTGTAAAAATCTCGATTTTTTTTTTTTGCACGATTACAATACTTTCTCTATACTACGTATATACGAGAAAGTAAAAAAACATCTAATAGCATAAAACAACTATTACAATTTATTTACTGTTTGATACTATAATAATTAATGATAAGTCATAGAAAAACAACATTAAAATCTGAAGACACACCAATACAGTTTACTTACAATGGCAAGAGAGAGTCTATCCTTGGTGGGTATTAAATAACTACCCAATGACCAGATTTCTTAAACTTTTTTGTAACATTTTGCTAGTTTACCTCTTGTACTAATTTTAATTAAAAATGTCATTGCTCTGTTGTGCATTGATATTATGAAACAGTTGCTTTGCTCTAGCTACATACAGTATGCATTCATTCTTGTGAGTAATGAGAGCATTCATACTGAATCACACCATGGGTGGTTGGCTATAAAGTGTGTGGATCATCACTCACTTTGTCATGCCACTTGATGGATTATTTTTCCCAGACTGACATACTAGGTTAAAGGAATAAAACTTAACACACATATTAGCATAACATTAGGAAAAATAAATAAAATTTAAGATGTAGACAAAATGAATAACATGAACATTATTGGTAAAGTAAATGATTCAGTCTATATTGTTTATCAGCCATTGTGGATGGGGCTGCTTTATATCATTGAACAATGTCTTTAGGTTGTTGTTGTGGTCTCTGTAGAAAGTTTGAAGAACTGTGTGAGACTCTAGGTCCATGGCTGGGTAAACTCTGCCTTTATTTGAATTCAAACATCCTGAGTCTTTCAGGCAGAAAAATCCCTTGACCTTGTCATACCTAGATACAACCAACAAGAGGAATCTAGGCCACATCAACTCAAAACTGTAACATTGTATTTACACAGTAAATAAAGTGCACATCAATCTAATCCTCACTGTAACAAATATAAAAACCTTCATAATTATAAGCTTTTAAATGCAATGAAAATTTGAAAAAAATACTTGCTTTATTTTAATTAAAGTTTTGTTTACCAAAATGTGTAAGAGATTTCACCTGAGACCATTATTTTTATTTAAGAAATTAAGTTTGGTTAGTGATTATATTTTCAAGTATTTTAAAAGTAAAAAGCTTACTATTATTATAAAGTTTTTATTAATTTATTCTTAATGAAAAAAATGCTACATATGACTAAAACATTTGCTTTAAATCCAGATCAGTAGCTTGCTATTGCTAGAAGATAGTTATCTGACCCTTCCTAACATTCTTGTAAACAGACCCTCAGTGACCATCACAGTTTAACCAGACTGATGGATTAATCCCTTAAGGTAAATTATGTTGTTATCTCCCCTTTAATATTGAATATACATATCTTTAAAAGTTTATGTACATTTTTATTACAAATTTAATAACTAATTGAATAAAAAAATCAGATAATCTTGCATTGTCATTAAAGACTAAGATGTCTAGAAAGTTTAAACATGTCCTGCATTAGAAGTTGGTCAAAAGTGAGTTACAAGATTTAATAACTAACCTAAACAGACATTATTAACTGAATAAAAGTTTATAATAAGACAAATATTTAACCCCAAGAATAAAGATACATTTAATTTATTAACTTAATTTAGAGGACACATTTAATTTTGATTTCAACTTAAAATGATGGAAACGTAAACTTAAAGCATAGTAGTCATGTAACTGTTAATGGAGCATACATTAAGATTTTTTATGCATTTTATTTAATCCTAAAAAATAAGACATTTAATTTTAACTACAAGAAAAAACGACACTTTTTATTTAGTAATTTAATCTAGAGGACACATTTGATTTCAACTTAAATTGATGGAACACCCCGACAAACTCTACTAGCTAGTGTACACAATAAACTTGAAAAGTGGTACCTAAGTTTGGTGGAATAGTCTAACACTGGCTGCACTTTGAGAAATCCTTGTAGGTCATGGAGCACAGAAACTGGATCATTAGCAAGTTGATCAGCGTCAATGATGTATATCTGGTAGACCAAACATTTACATTTGCTTGTAAAAATAATTGCACTTAGAGGGACTTGATGTATACTGATCACAATTTGTGTTTTCTAAACATTTACACATTACACCAAGCTGTTAGTACTAGAATCTTAAAATCATCATCTAAGGTTTCCAAGTATTTTGTTTAAACTCAACATCTATGTAAGTGTTATTGTATGTCATCTATGGCATCAGAATTACTTTAACACAAAGTGGATAGGGAGATTATCTTTTCTTTACATTATGATTTACATTGTGTTAAATGAAGTATATATAGCTTATATAACAATGTTACATAACAGGCTTTGATATACTTGATTCTAATTTTATTTTTCCAGATTTTAACTAATTAGAACTGTTGGTTGAATCGGTTGATTTAATCAGCAGACAATTTTCTTTAATTTCAAACACAAATAAAGGCTTACAGTTGTAACAATGGAAGTGATTTTCTATCAATTTTGTAGATCTAAATCACATCAATTATAAGTCGTAATTTTTGTAGTGGTAAATTGTGTTGCTGGTGGGTGGCTGGTTTTTGGAACTGTTTATGTTATGTTGCTAGTGGGATGGTGGATTTCATCCTTTTAATAACATTAGCATGTACCATCGCCCTTTAGATATAGATATCTGAATATTATCTTCAAAGTGAAGTTATAATTCGATCAAAACTTGTAAATCTTAAAATAATTTTTAACACATCAAAGAACCCTCTTATACTTATAGTGACTTATAGATCTTAATATGAAAGTTTAATCTATTTTTCAAATGCAATTTGCACTTCTCTGTATAATTGTATAAATTTAACAATTTATTTTTACAAATACCTTTACTTGTAATTGTAAAGCTACATTTTTATTTTACAAGTTTCATTTCAGTGAAAAAAAAGTTTTTTTTTCTCTGGGAGAAATGGCTTCGAACCAGATCCCAGACCTACTCAGGTAAGCATCTTGTGTGTACAGGCCGGAGAGTGACGAACTGGGCAGGTAAACGAAGCTAAACGTAATGAGCACGAGTTACCTGTTCCTTAGGAAAAAACTGCAACCACCTGGCCAGGTGTACGGCGTACATTCCTGGCTGTAAGCATCTGTTTCTTGTGGCTTTGAGAAAACGGGGAGACGTTTCCGGGGCCGACACAACCTCAAAAAATGTGTAATTCATGGCAACGGGATCACTGTGTGAGCGTAAGTGCTGCAGACGTCAAGACATTTGTTACGTGTAAAACAGCATGCAGGGCTATAAATAAACCATAAACAACGGAGAGGATGGGCCATCAAAGCTTATATAGTTTTTCGCATCAGAGCAGCATTTCTAATTAAAATAAAATTTAGCGGGCCATTAAAAACCCTTCTAATGTGGTCAAGGTTTGTAAAGAGTTACGGGTACTGGTTGAAAAAAACAAAGAGAGGTAACTCACATAATACCACGAGTAGGCTCGCTTTGCTGGATCACTAACTAGAACAATGATCTTTGCATCTGGCAGCAGGGCATATACTCGCTTTGGTGTTAGTGCGCTGTCGAAGTAGTTGGCACTTTTTTCAAACAACCAGATTCGTGGGTCGTTAGGTTCTGGGAAATGTTCCTGGTACCTGGAGGAAAGATGGCATTATAAGCTGCAATAAACACAAGAATACTTTGTGCACAGTGTGTATGTGATTAGCCAATGACAAGGATAAACAAACACATACACACAATGTTTTATTTGACACACTACACGAGGCAACAGACTTGTTTTATTATAGTGTAAGAACCGCGAGTTTGAAAATTAATATCAAGAAAGCACTTGTCAAGTAAGTTCGCTCATATATTGGACTGTGTGATGGTTGACTTAAGCCAGCACCTTTGTAAATATGGTAAAGCGTTATCTCCCCATAGCAGGATGTGGCCAGTACCTACAGATACACGTGCCAGTTAATGTCTGCAAGATAAGTGTATCAACAGATACAACGAATAAAGTGATAGCCTTACTCAGAAGCGTAGCGAGGGGGGGGGCGCGGACCGCACCAGGTGACACCATTTAGGGGGGTGACACCAAGGCAAAAATTAGCAAAATATATAGAGAAAAATGATAAATTCCACTAAATTAAATGATTAATTCGAGTGTTAAAAATGTTTTAAGAGGTGCAAATCGAAAGTTTGGGGGGGGGGGTGCAAATCGAAAATTGAAAGTTTGGGTCGCTACGCCTCTGAGGGGTGACACCATTAAGTGGCGCACCAGGTGACACCCAACATCGCTACGCCACTGGCCTTACTAGTTGATATTTTTCAAATAATTATTCAAGATATCTACATACCAGTCAATGCCTTTAAGATAATTGTTTGAACCGAAGAACTGAATTTCCTCGAAGTGTTCAGGGTCCGGTGTGCTGGTCTTCATAAGGGGATGGACTTCAAGAAACCGCAGCAGGGCAGTGGTTCCTGGTGGGTTAAGGTTAGTCATGTCATACAGGCAGTGGTGGGTTAAGGTTAGTCATGTCATACAGGCAGTGGTTCCTGGTGGGTTAAGGTTAGTCATGTCATACAGGCAGTGGTTCCTGGTGGGTTAAGGTTAGTCATGTCATACAGGCAGTGGTTCCTGGTGGGTTAAGGTTAGTCATGTCATACAGGCAGTGGTTCCTGGTGGGTTAAGGTTAGTCATGTCATACAGGCAGTGGTTCCTGGTGGGTTAAGGTTAGTCATGTCATACAGGCAGTGGTTCCTGGTGGGTTAAGGTTAGTCATGTCATACAGGCAGTGGTTCCTGGTGGGTTAAGGTTAGTCATGTCATACAGGCAGTGGTTCCTGGTGGGTTAAGGTTAGTCATGTCATACAGGCAGTGGTTCCTGGTGGGTTAAGGTTAGTCATGTCTATAGGGGTCACCAGTACATTTCCTCCAAGAGTCCCACCAAGCTTATTCCGCCGCTGATCTCTCCCCCCCCCCCCCCAACACTTCCTAAGCCTCTCCCATGGTATAAGTAGCTATAAAAAAATTAAGTCGCTGTTTTGTGTGTTTCTGAATACAACGAACCAAACCCCTGCACTAAATGATACCGGTTTTTTGTGGTCCCACGATGATAAACTTGGGTAGTCTGTTGCAGGTTTTGTTGTGGGGCCAGATCTCCAGGTGCTTGTTGAACACACAGGGGTTCTGTAACACGACACGTGATCAGGTCAGATTACATCGGTAAGTGCTCGCCTTAAGGTGGGCTAGGTGGATTTATAATGGCAGGTATAGCCTGCTTGGTCTAGTTACAGGTGGATTTATAATGGCATGTATAGTCTGCTTGGTCTAGTTACAGGTAGAGTTATACTGGCATGTATAGTCTGCTTGGTCTAGTTACAGGTGGAGTTATACTGGCATGTATAGTCTGCTTGGTCTAGTTACAGGTGGATTTATAATGGCATGTATAGTCTGCTTGGTCTAGTTACAGGTAGAGTTATACTGGCATGTATAGTCTGCTTGGTCTAGTTACAGGTGGAGTTATACTGGCATGTATAGTCTGCTTGGTCTAGTTACAGGTAGAGTTATACTGGCGGGTATAGTCTGCTTGGGCTAGTTACAGGTGGATTTATAATGGCAGGTATAGCCTGCTTGGTCTAGTTACAGGTAGAGTTATACTGGCGGGTATAGTCTGCTTGGTCTAGTTACAGGTGGATTTATAATGGCATGTATAGTCTGCTTGGTCTAGTTACAGGTAGAGTTATACTGGCATGTATAGTCTGCTTGGTCTAGTTACAGGTGGAGTTATACTGGCATGTATAGTCTGCTTGGTCTAGTTACAGGTAGAGTTATACTGGCGGGTATAGTCTGCTTGGGCTAGTTACAGGTAGAGTTATACTGGCATGTATAGTCTGCTTGGTCTAGTTACAGGTGGAGTTATACTGGCATGTATAGTCTGCTTGGTCTAGTTACAGGTAGAGTTATACTGGCGGGTATAGTCTGCTTGGGCTAGTTACAGGTAGAGTTATACTGGCATGTATAGTCTGCTTGGTCTAGTTACAGGTGGAGTTATACTGGCATGTATAGTCTGCTTGGTCTAGTTACAGGTAGAGTTATACTGGCGGGTATAGTCTGCTTGGGCTAGTTACAGGTAGAGTTATACTGGCAGGTATAGTCTGCTTGGTCTAGTTACAGGTGGAGTTATACTGGCATGTATAGTCTGCTTGGTCTAGTTACAGGTAGAGTTATACTGACATGTATAGTCTGCTTGGTCTAGTTACAGGTAGAGTTATACTGACATGTATAGCCTGCTTGGTCTAGTTACAGGTAGAGTTATACTGGCATGTATAGTCTGCTTGGTCTAGTTACAGGTAGAGTTATACTGACATGTATAGCCTGCTTGGTCTAGTTACAGGTAGAGTTATACTGGCATGTATAGTCTGCTTGGTCTAGTTACAGGTAGAGTTATACTGGCATGTATAGTCTGCTTGGTCTAGTTACAGGTAGAGTTATACTGGCATGTATAGTCTGCTTGGTCTAGTTACAGGTAGAGTTATACTGGCATGTATAGTCTGCTTGGGCTAGTTACAGGTAGAGTTATACTGGCATGTATAGTCTGTTTGGTCTAGTTACAGGTAGAGTTATACTGGCATGTATAGTCGGCTTGGTCTAGTTACAGGTAGTTATACTGGCAGGTATAGACTTCTTGGTCTAGTTATAGGTAGAGTTATACTGGCATGTATAGTCTGCTTGGTCTAGTTACAGGAAGAGTTATACTGGCATGTATAGTCTGCTTGGTCTAGTTACAGGTAGAGTTATACTGGGAGGTATAGCCTGCTTGGTTGGAAGGCAGAGAATTAGATCTTTTACTTATACGTGATATATGGGTTATCTACCTGAAACATTATTCAAGTTATAGGCTTTTGAAAAACCAAAAGTAGAATATGTTCCAGTTCCGGCTACCGAAAATCGCTGATATAATTTTTATAAATGCATTTTCATCAACCTAGCTGTAACGGTACACAAGTTATCGTTTTCACAGACACACATCCACACAAACACACAGACATACGGACAAAATTGTAAAATGTTTTTCCGACTCAGGGAGGTGTAAAACGTCGAGATTTTCGATTTTTTTTTTGCACGGTGACAATACTTCCTCTACACTTTGAATACAAGAAAGTAAAAACAACGCTAAAAAATAAGTTGTGTCAGGCAATATAATACCCGGCTAGCTGTAGAACTTTAAAAGAAGGCATATAATGCTTCGTTAGTTAAAAGAAGCTCAACACCGAAAGTACGTAATTGATAGAACATAGTTCAAACAACGTCAGTCAAGACGCCACTGGATGTTCATGGCCACTCACCGTCCAAACGGGATCCATTTCTTGCGGGTACATGGCGAAATATCTTCTGGCAATCTCCAGCGGGGGAGGGGACAACAGGCGCAGGTTCGTCCACTTCAACACAAACTCAAACACTCTTTCAAACGCGTAGATGGCCACACGGTCATTTGCATAGTTGGACATGTGCGTCATAAAAATCATCACCTGGGGAAAGTGGAACAGTTTAGTTGTAAGGCAATCATGTCTTTACAGACAACTTCAAGATGAGCACGAGAGACAACTCACTGGGGTGCTAAGTATAATGTTAAAGAGGTGGCCTCCCCTGATGCTACTGTCAAGCTCTGCTTTTCCACCAGGATAGTTCTCAAACTTGACAGTTCGTGTGTACAAGCGACAAGTCTGACGCGGTACAACCTGCAACAATATGACACAACATGCAACAATAGGAGATATGCAACAATAGCACACACCATGCAACAATTGGACACAACAGGCAACAATTGGACACAGCATCCAACAATAGGACACAACATGCAACAATAGAACACAACATGCAACAATTGGACACAACCTGCAACAATATGACACAACATGCAATAACAGAACTCAACATGCAACAATATGACACACATGCAATTATAGGAGATATGTAACAATTAGGACACAACATGCAACAATAAGATACAATAGGACAAAACATGCAACAACTGGACACAATAGAACACAACATGCAACAATAGAACACAACATGCAACAATAGGACACAACATGCAACAGAAGAAGACACCATGAAACAAAATGCATAAAACTCTCATTTAAAAATATTTTCTCTGTTATAGTTTGTATCCAGACAAGAAAAAAAACAAGTGAGACCAAAAATACGTTTCTATAAGTTAACACAGATTTACCATAATACCTTTCTAGAAGTTAACACAGACTTACCATAATACCTTTCTATAAGTTAACACAGACTTACCATAATACCTTTCTATAAGTTAACACAGACTTACCATAATACCTTTCTATAAGTTAACACAGACTTACCATAATACTTTTCTATAAGTTAACACAGACTTACCATAATACCTTTCTATAAGTTAACACAGACTTACCATAATACCTTTCTATAAGTTAACACAGACTTACCATAATACTTTTCTATAAGATAACACAGACTTACCATAATACCTTTCTATAAGTTAACACAGACTTACCATAATACCTTTCTATAAGTTAACACAGACTTACCATAATACTTTTCTATAAGATAAAACAGACTTACCATAATACCTTTATATAAGTTAACACAGACTTACCATAATACTTTTATATATGATAACACTTACCATAATACCTTTCTATAAGTTAACACAGACTTACCATAATACCTTGCTATAAGTTAACACTTACCATAATACCTTTCTATAAGTTAACACAGACTTACCATAATACTTTTCTATAAGATAACACAGACTTACCATAATACCTTTATATAAGTTAACACAGACTTACCATAATACCTTTCTATAAGATAACACTTACCATAATACCTTTATATAAGATAACACTTACCATAATACCTTTATATAAGTTAACACAGACTTACCATAATACCTTGCTATAAGTTAACACAGACTTACCATAATACCTTTATATAAGATAACACTTACCATAATACCTTTATATAAGATAACACAGACTTACCATAATACCTTTATATAAGATAACACAGACTTACCATAATACCTTTCTATAAGTTAACACAGACTTACCATAATACCTTTATATATGATAACACTTACCATAATACCTTTATATATGAACCCCCTACGTCCCCATTGTGGCAAGGGTCTGGGGTACTGCTCTGTACTTGTACATAAAACACCTTTCTCCTTCCAGGTGTCATACACAAAGTCTAGTACAGGAAACACACCTGAGTGGTGAGGTGTGACCATATACTCACTCTGCACGTGCATGCCGTTTTCCTTGACAGATTACAATCAAATCAACTCGAATTCTTACTTGGAATTTAAAAAAACCACATATCCCATATATATATATATATATATATATATATATATATATATATATATATATATATATATATATATATATATATATATATATATATATATGCATGTGGCAGGTGTGCATAAATAAGTGTGTACAGGTATTATGGTAGAACGAGAAGACATGATGACATATGGTGACACTCGAGGACAATATATGACAGTAGATGACATGAGATGACATGAGATGGCATAAGAGGACATGAGATGTCGTACGAAGACAATCCATGACAGTAGATGTCATGAGATGACATCATGAGATGACCTCATGAGATGACATCATGAGTTGACCCACCATAGCAAAATTGATGTTACTCTCCATGGAAGATTCAAAAGACGACCTGTTCAGTATGTGAGGCTGCTCATGGCGATACATGTGGTTAAACCAGTCAAAGTTCTCTGCCAGTTCTGTAACAAATGTGGTTAATGTGGTTAAACCAGTCAAAGTTTTCTGCCAGTTCTGTAACAAAAGTGGTTAAACCAAAGTTCTCTGTCAGTTCTGTAACAAAAGTGGTTAAACCAGTCAAAGTTTTCTGCCAGTTCTGTAACAAATGTGGTTAAACCAGTCAAAGTTTTCTGCCAGTTCTGTAACAAAAGTGGTTAAACCAAAGTTCTCTGTCAGTTCTGTAACAAATGTGGTTAAACCAGTCAAAGTTCTCTGCCAGTTCTGTAACAAAAGTGGTTAAACCAAAGTTCTCTGTCAGTTCTGTAACAAATGTGGTTAAACCAGTCAAAGTTCTCTGCCAGTTCTGTAACAAATGTGGTTAAACCAAAGTTCTCTGTCAGTTCTGTAACAAATCTGGTTAAACCAGTCAAAGTTCTCTGCCAGTTCTGTAACAAATGTGGTTAAACCAAAGTTCTCTGCCAGTTCTGTAACAAATGTGGTTAAACCAAAGTTCTCTGCCAGTTCTGTAACAAATGTGGTTAAACCAAAGTTTTCTGCCAGTTCTGTAACAAATGTGGTTAATGTGGTTAAACCAGTCAAAGTTTTCTGCCAGTTCTGTAACAAATGTGGTTAAACCAGTCAAAGTTTTCTGCCAGTTCTGTAACAAAAGTGGTTAAACCAAAGTTCTCTGTCAGTTCTGTAACAAAAGTGGTTAAACCAGTCAAAGTTTTCTGCCAGTTCTGTAACAAATGTGGTTAATGTGGTTAAACCAGTCAAAGTTTTCTGCCAGTTCTGTAACAAATGTGGTTAAACCAGTCAAAGTTTTCTGCCAGTTCTGTAACAAAAGTGGTTAAACCAAAGTTCTCTGTCAGTTCTGTAACAAATGTGGTTAAACCAGTCAAAGTTCTCTGCCAGTTCTGTAACAAAAGTGGTTAAACCAAAGTTCTCTGTCAGTTCTGTAACAAATGTGGTTAAACCAGTCAAAGTTCTCTGCCAGTTCTGTAACAAATGTGGTTAAACCAAAGTTCTCTGTCAGTTCTGTAACAAATCTGGTTAAACCAGTCAAAGTTCTCTGCCAGTTCTGTAACAAATGTGGTTAAACCAAAGTTCTCTGCCAGTTCTGTAACAAATGTGGTTAAACCAAAGTTCTCTGCCAGTTCTGTAACAAATGTGGTTAAACCAAAGTTCTCTGCCAGTTCTGTAACAAATGTGGTTAAACCAAAGTTTTCTGCCAGTTCTGTAACAAATGTGGTTAATGTGGTTAAACCAGTCAAAGTTTTCTGCCAGTTCTGTAACAAATGTGGTTAAACCAGTCAAAGTTTTCTGCCAGTTCTGTAACAAAAGTGGTTAAACCAAAGTTCTCTGTCAGTTCTGTAACAAAAGTGGTTAAACCAGTCAAAGTTTTCTGCCAGTTCTGTAACAAATGTGGTTAATGTGGTTAAACCAGTCAAAGTTTTCTGCCAGTTCTGTAACAAATGTGGTTAAACCAGTCAAAGTTTTCTGCCAGTTCTGTAACAAAAGTGGTTAAACCAAAGTTCTCTGTCAGTTCTGTAACAAATCTGGTTAAACCAGTCAAAGTTCTCTGCCAGTTCTGTAACAAATGTGGTTAAACCAAAGTTCTCTGCCAGTTCTGTAACAAATGTGGTTAAACCAAAGTTCTCTGCCAGTTCTGTAACAAATATGGTTAAACCAAAGTTCTCTGCCAATTCTGTAACAAAAGTGGTTAAACCAGTCAAAGTTCTCTGCCAGTTCTGTAACAAAAGTGGTTAAACCAGTCAAAGTTCTCTGCCAGTTCTGTAACAAAAGTGGTTAAACCAGTCAAAGTTCTCTGCCAGTTCTGTAACAAATGTGGTTAAACCAGTCAAAGTTCTCTCCCAGTTCTGTAACAAATGTGGTTAAACCAGTCAAAGGTCTCTGCCAGTTCTGTAACAAATGTGGTTAAACTAGTCAAAGGTCTCTGCCAGTTCTGTAACAAATGTGGTTAAACCAGTCAAAGGTCTCTGCCAATTCTGTAACAAATGTGGTTAATGTGGTTAAACCTACATATATTGTATGGGTTTTCCATATCAAGGGAACTGGATGTAGTTTAACTGGATGTGGTTTAACTAATTATGTCTGCTAGTTTTCAATGAGGTTGAACGCGCCCTTGTTCTCCATTGGTTGGATTAATTACTAGTTGACCTATATAAAGACATCTATACTTTATTGTAATGTACATTTCCGTTTTCGTAAGTAGATTCAATATACAGTTGACAATCGTACCTGTGTGTGTGTGTGTGTGTGTGTGTGTGTGTGTGTGTGTGTGACAGTGTGTGTGTGTGACAGTGTGTGTGTGTATGTTTGTGTGTGTATGTTTGTGTACAGAAATGCTTTCCTATTTCTTACCTACAATCTTTCTGTCCCCTTCGATTTCTCTGTCACTACCTTTGGCGTACATGCCACCAGAATAGCCGAGCTTGTATCGAAAGTTGGGAATATATTGACCAATCCGCTTCTGACTTGCCAACATCTCCTGATGCACAGAGTATCACAGACGTACAATTTGCCATTTTACAATTTTAGGTTCATGACTTATAACAGAAAACATGTAAGTCAGCATAGGAATATATAATTATATATATATATATATATATATATATATATATATATATATATATATATATATATATATATATATATATATATATATATATACGCTTTTATATATATATATATATATATATATATATATATATATATATAAAAGCGTATAAGGTTGCTGAGTAGAAGGTGAGGGGAAGCGGTACTGGTTCGATCTGATGGATGCTCTTGTTCAGATTTTATTGGGCACGTCAAATAAAAACATCTGAGGTGGTAGTTGATGTCTGACAACTCTCTTTGTCCACGAGATACGTGTCGCCCTCAAATAAATCACAACGATAAACTTTAAGTGTGGTCAATATTTTCTGACAGCGATCTATGGTGAACACCTTTTTGTGACAATAGCACCGTTTAGTGCGCTTATCACGTTGTAACACCTTTGTTTGAGAAATATATCGTTGATGATATCTCCATTTTGTGATTTATTTTCAGTTGCTTCCCTTTTGTATGTGTACCTTTTTGAAATAAATACTAAAAAGGGCAACAAAGAACATAGACACACACACGCTTCTAATACCTTATTTCAAGTCCTATTAAAGAAGAGGATAAATGTGGAATACAAACCTAGTTAACTAGCAGACGATATTGAAGAAACGTTCACCTGTGCGTCCTGTGTGAGGGTTCGGATCCCAGACTGCCCAACAAACATGTCGTCCACGTCCACCTGAATGAGACGGTCCAGTGGTAGCGCCAACCGTCCATCTGTTAGGTGGGTCAAACCGTCCATGGCCACGATGACGTTCATCCAGAAGGTCAAGTCAGAGCCCAGGATAAGTCGCTCTATGCCGTCTAGAAGACCTGGGCACCAAGACAAAGAAATGAGTCGCTCTATGCCGTCTAGAAGACCTGGGTACCAAGACAAAGAAATGAGTCGCTCTATGCCGTCTAGAAGACCTGGGCACCAAGACAAAGAAATGAGTCGCTCTATGCCGTCTAGAAGACCTGGGCACCAAGACAAAGAAATGAGTCGCTCTATGCCGTCTAGAAGACCTGGGCACCAAGACAAAGAAATGAGTCGCTCTATGCCGTCTAGAAGACCTGGGCACCAAGACAAAGAAATGAGTCGCTCTATGCCGTCTAGAAGACCTGGGCACCAAGACAGTTAAAGAAATGAGTCGCTCTATGCCGTCTAGAAGACATGGGCACCAAGACAAAGAAATGAGTCGCTCTATGCCGTCTAGAAGACCTGTGCACCAAGACAAAGAAATGAGTCGCTCTATGCCGTCTAGAAGACCTGGGCACCAAGACAAAGAAATGAGTCGCTCTATGCCGTCTAGAAGACCTGGGCACCAAGACAGTTAAAGAAATGAGTCGCTCTATGCCGTCTAGAAGACCTGGGCACCAAGACAAAGAAATGAGTCGCTCTATGCCGTCTAGAAGACCTGGGTACCAAGACAAAGAAATGAGTCGCTCTATGCCGTCTAGAAGACCTGGGCACCAAGACAGTTAAAGAAATGAGTCGCTCTATGCCGTCTAGAAGACCTGGGTACCAAGACAAAGAAATGAGTCGCTCTATGCCGTCTAGAAGACCTGGGTACCAAGACAAAGAAATGAGTCGCTCTATGCCGTCTAGAAGACCTGGGCACCAAGACAAAGAAATGAGTCGCTCTATGCCGTCTAGAAGACCTGGGCACCAAGACAAAGAAATGAGTCGCTCTATGCCGTCTAGAAGACCTGGGTACCAAGACAAAGAAATGAGTCGCTCTATGCCGTCTAGAAGACCTGGGCACCAAGACAAAGAAATGAGTCGCTCTATGCCGTCTAGAAGACCTGGGTACCAAGACAAAGAAATGAGTCGCTCTATGCCGTCTAGAAGACCTGGGTACCAAGACAAAGAAATGAGTCGCTCTATGCCGTCTAGAAGACCTGGGCACCAAGACAAAGAAATGAGTCGCTCTATGCCGTCTAGAAGACCTGGGTACCAAGACAAAGAAATGAGTCGCTCTATGCCGTCTAGAAGACCTGGGTACCAAGACAAAGAAATGAGTCGCTCTATGCCGTCTAGAAGACCTGGGCACCAAGACAAAGAAATGAGTCGCTCTATGCCGTCTAGAAGACCTGGGCACCAAGACAGTTAAAGAAATGAGCCGCTCTATGCCGTCTAAAAGACCTGGGCATAGATGAGGGAGTTATAGTAATTGAAAACGCCATGCAGCATAAGTCTATAATATATTTTTGATCCCGACATTCAACAGAATCTGTCAACATAATAAGCAACCAGCACTTGCCACATTATAGCGGTCAACAGTTGACCCAATTAAACGGAAAATTATTGTCCCTCTTGTAAAGATAAGCTTTCGACTGACTAAAGTGGGTAAATAAAAATAAAACAATTCAGTTTTAAACGCGATGTAGATTTTCATTTAAAACATCTAGACTTCTTAAAATAGCAAAAAAAAAATAGATAGCTAATTTTAAAAATATTGTTACATCAATTATAGTATGTAGAGAGGTTTTAGTCAAGTGAGAGGGGTAGCGCCCGGGCAAATTGCTTATTTAAGCGCCCCCCCTCCTATTACTTATATATAGTTACATTTGTTAAGGTTGGGGAGGCTTTTACCAGTAACTATCCCATAACAAATGTTTTACCATAATGTTAAATAATTGATGTAAAAATCAACTGAGCCAGTCGGGAAAGCAATGAATAGTAAAGTTTATTTTCTTAACTTTGCCTATAATTCAGAAATGCAGCTAGAAATGAGAAATTTATTACTCTTTTTAACCCGTTTGGCGCCCCCTCCCACCCGGGTCGGCCCTCCCTTAGCTACGCCTCTGAGTAGAGTTTAAACATATCGTTACATCAGACATTTGACTATACAGAGAAGCTTTAGTAGAGTTTAAACATATTGTTACATCAGACATACATTTGTCTATACAGAGAAGCTTTAGTAGAGTTTAAACATATTGTTACATCAGACATTTGTCTATACAGAGAAGCTTTAGTAGAGTTTAAACATATTGTTACATCAGACATTTGTCTATACAGAGAAGCTTTAGTAGAGTTTAAACATATTGTTACATCAGACATTTGTCTATACAGAGAAGCTTTAGTAGAGTTTAAACATATCGTTACATCAGACATTTGACTATACAGAGAAGCTTTAGTAGAGTTTAAACATATCGTTACATCAGACATACATTTGTCTATACAGAGAAGCTTTAGTAGAGTTTAAACATATTGTTACATCAGACATTTGTCTATACAGAGAAGCTTTAGTAGAGTTTAAACATATTGTTACATCAGACATTTGTCTATACAGAGAAGCTTTAGTAGAGTTTAAACATATTGTTACATCAGACATTTGTCTATACAGAGAAGCTTTAGTAGAGTTTAAACATATTGTTACATCAGACATTTGTCTATACAGAGAAGCTTTAGTAGAGTTTAAACATATTGTTACATCAGACATTTGTCTATACAGAGAAGCTTTAGTAGAGTTTAAACATATTGTTACATCAGACATTTGTCTATACAGAGAAGCTTTAGTAGAGTTTAAACATATTGTTACATCAGACATTTGTCTATACAGAGAAGCTTTAGTAGAGTTTAAACATATCGTTACATCAGACATTTGACTATACAGAGAAGCTTTAGTAGAGTTTAAACATATCGTTACATCAGACATACATTTGTCTATACAGAGAAGCTTTAGTAGAGTTTAAACATATTGTTACATCAGACATTTGTCTATACAGAGAAGCTTTAGTAGAGTTTAAACATATTGTTACATCAGACATTTGTCTATACAGAGAAGCTTTAGTAGAGTTTAAACATATTGTTACATCAGACATTTGTCTATACAGAGAAGCTTTAGTAGAGTTTAAACATATTGTTACATCAGACATTTGTCTATACAGAGAAGCTTTAGTAGAGTTTAAACATATTGTTACATCAGACATTTGTCTATACAGAGAAGCTTTAGTAGAGTTTAAACATATTGTTACATCAGACATTTGTCTATACAGAGAAGCTTTAGTAGAGTTTAAACATATTGTTACATCAGACATTTGTCTATACAGAGAAGCTTTAGTAGAGTTTAAACATATTGTTACATCAGACATTTGTCTATACAGAGAAGCTTTAGTAGAGTTTAAACATATTGTTACATCAGACATTTGTCTATACAGAGAAGCTTTAGTAGAGTTTAAACATATTGTTACATCAGACATTTGTCTATACAGAGAAGCTTTAGTAGAGTTTAAACATATTGTTACATCAGACATTTGTCTATACAGAGAAGCTTTAGTAGAGTTTAAACATATTGTTACATCAGACATACATTTGTCTATACAGAGAAGCTTTAGTAGAGTTTAAACATATTGTTACATCAGACATTTGTCTATACAGAGAAGCTTTAGTAGAGTTTAAACATATTGTTACATCAGACATTTGTCTATACAGAGAAGCTTTAGTAGAGTTTAAACATATCGTTACATCAGACATTTGACTATACAGAGAAGCTTTAGTAGAGTTTAAACATATCGTTACATCAGACATACATTTGTCTATACAGAGAAGCTTTAGTAGAGTTTAAACATATCGTTACATCAGACATTTGACTATACAGAGAAGCTTTAGTAGAGTTGATCAAACAAAGAGTAGCCTACCTTGATCGTGTACGGCTATGACGCAACCAAACTCTGACGTCCCAGATTTCACGGACTCGTCAACTGTTGAGTAGACCAATGGTCTGTACGTCTCATGCTTAGTTATAAATAGCGTCCAATCAGAAGATGGCAAACTTTCATCAAAGACCGCCTCTTTCTTTGCTACCCGCCAAAATTCAACTCGTGGGTTTAATTTGTACTGCTTTAACTTGTACCCATGATGCATCTCTAATCCAAACTCAGTCACCAGCTTGTATCCCTTGCCTTTAGACAACGTAAAGGCTAGAATGCCAACTTTATATTTCTTGCAGTATTCTTCTAGAACGTTCCTGCGTGCCGGCGCCATCTTGAGATAAGACAAGTAGTCGCCAAAGACGAGCACGGCATACTGAGGCAGCTCAGGCTCCAGCACGAGTGTCGGCATGTCCTCGTCCACCGACACGATCCTGTACTCCAGCCGCAACTGCTCAAAGAACTGGCCCAGGACCCCGACATGCGAGGACTCCGTGTCTCGCACAAGGACCAGGACTTTCTTCAGCGGTTTTTTGTTGGACGCCCCGGGGCCCCCAGATGCGGCGTAGGCACGCAGCCTCTCGCTGAAGTAAGTCCCGAGGGGGTTGTCACGCATGAAGTAACCGTCCAGACTCTCCTCCTGAGCCAGGTCACTCTCGTCATAGAGGGCGCTCAGGTCGCTGGGCTGGGCCAACTGGTCGTCATAGACGGAACTTCTGAGGACGCGCGCCACACCTGAGGCGTTCATCAAGACCACGATGGTCCACGTGAGAAAGGCTGAGACAAAGAGGGCCATCAGCTTGAGGAAGGAGCATCTCTTGACGGAGCAGCACCGCCCCATCATGGTCAGCATCCACACGCTCACTTGTCTAGCCTTCATTTCAGAGCTGCACCAACACAGCCATCAAGACAACAACTTGACAAGTTAGGTGCACGGAGTGACAAGCCGAGTCTAGTATGATGACAGACACTCTGACGAAAATAAAAATGTCAAACGAGACACCAGTAAAGCAGTCAAGACATTAAACCGTACACAGCCCTCACCATTGAAGAGGAACGTTTTGCCAAAATTTGTTAAGTCTGTTTGCTTTGTTTGTGACAGTAAGATTCTATTTTAATGTTGAGGAAAAACTAAAATGTAAACTTTTGTTTTAGCAAAACTTTAATAATACTTTACGATGTAACTTGTTGTTTTCAAAGCTTTAATTTATAGTTTTTTTCGTACTGGTGTAGGTCTCCGTGACCGAATTTTTCAAATGATTTAATAATATACCGATAATTTCTTGGATGATTAACCATAGGCCTATATCAAATCTTATAAATCATAAGCTTACTAAAATTTTTAAAATATATAGTTTTGACTTAATTAATATAAAAAAAAACTCAAAAAAATTAAAGTTCTGATCAAATTATAAGCGTCTTGTACTGCTGACCTTATAACCTGGTGATGGGAGCAGTGTTTCTTCCAGACTTTTTTCTCCGGGGGGCACTTGAAATCTTCGGGGGGGGGGGGGCGGTAAACTTTCTCCGGAGGGGGGGGGCGGACACTGTTAAAAGTATATATTTTCTATATAAATTATATAAAGTTCATTTCGTTCGGGGGGGGCGGTAAAAAATTTTCGGGGGGGGGGGGGGGGGCTTCGACCCCCGAAGAGATGCCTGGAAGAAACTCTGGATGGGAGAATGATATGAGCAGGTAAACAGTGCTAGGTCTGAATGTAGATGTTAGCGTGATGGGTTACTTCCCTCTAGAGCAAAGGTCTCCAAACTACGGCCCGCGGGCCGGATGCGGCCCGCAAAGTCCTATCGTCCGACCTGCGGAGATAATTTTTTTTGTTGGAGATTGCTGAGGAACTTTGCCCAGAAAATTCAAAACAATTTGAAAATGTAGCTTTGGGTGCAAATACCATTGCCCACCGTGTTGCAGACATTGGTGAAAACATTGTGACTCGAATAGAGAAAAATACAAGCAAATTTCGCCATTTTTCCATTGCAATGGATAAGTCGCTGTACAGCAGTTCCACCTCTCAGCTGGTTGTGTTCATTAGAGGTGTGGATGAAGACAAGAACATAACACAAGAGCTGGCTTCCCTACACAACATGTATGGTGCTGTTACCGGAGAGGATATATTCAATTAGTAAAAAAAAACATTTGTTGATTATAACTTGGACTGGACTAACCTCAGTTACCTGACTGTAGATGAGTGGCATAAAGAAAGGCTTGGTTGGACAAGCGAATGAGTAAAAAACATTCTACAACCAATGTTCCTGCACTGTATTATTCACCAGCAAGCTTTGTGTGCTAAATATCTGGACATTAGCAGTGGGGAAGATGGTGAATTTAATAAGGTCACGTAGGTTCAACAATCATAGACAGTTCATAGGCAATTATGTCGAAATAACCAAACACAAAATCGCAATATTTACCCTATTACACAGCAGTAAGACGGCTAAGTTGTGAGAAAGTTCTGAGCAGAGTATTTAAGGAGATAGGTTACTTCCTGGACAGTAAAGGCTAACCACAGCCATTAATTCTGATGAAGAGTGGGTATAGAACTGCTGCAGACATAACTAGTCATTTAAATTTTCTGAACCTAAAACTACAAGAGAGGGAAATCTATTTTTCTGATCTATACACCCACTTCAAGGCCTTCAGATCCCAACTTGTCATGTTTTTGGAACACGTACAAGCCAACAAATTGACGATTTTCCAGCAGTGCAAGGTCTTCATGGCTGAAGCAACAGCTGAGTTCTCCAGTCATTTCCATGCGAGATCAACAAACACCTCCAGCTGCAGTTTCAGTAGTGGTTTTCTGACTTGGATTCAAAGGCAGAAGAAATAAGACGGCTTCAAAACGCATTTGAAGCAAATGTCTCCAGTTGCCCAGATGAACGGCAGCTAGAGGTCATTGAATTGCATGCAAATGACCTTCTTAGAGACAAGGTCAAAGAAGGGAGGGTGGATTTTAAAAAGAGTTTTCCCATGGAAGACTTTCCTAATATTAAAACATTTGCATCATGGTACCTTTCAAATTTTGGAACAACATACCTGTGTGAACAAACGTTTTCAAGAATGAAATAAGTGAAGAACAATTTAAGAGCAAACTTGGACCTCGAGTGTGTTGCTGCCCCCTGACGATGTTTCTTTCAGAACTTTTTCTCGGGGGGGGGGGGGGTACTTGAAATGTGTATATATTTCTATATAAATTATATTTTGTTGGGGGGAGGGGTGACATTCTTCGGGGGGGGGGGACTCCGCCACCCCAATGAGATGCCTGGAAGAAACTGGCCCCCGAACTTATATTTGGTAGTTAATGCGGCCCTCGGGCTGAAAAGTTTGGAGACCCCTGCTCTAGGGACTACAAACGTGGACAGACGCCCACATAGTCCAACATACGTAGCATGGATTGAATAAATAGCCACTGAATAGGTCCAAAACTAAAGCGGTCAACTGGGCGAACGTCAAGTGGGCAACGGTCAACTGGGCGAGCGTCAAGTGGGAAACGGTCAACTGGGCGAGCGTCAAGTGGGCAACGGTCAACTGGGCAACGGTCAACTGGGCGAGCGTCAAGTGGGCAACGGTCAACTGGGCGAGCGTCAAGTGGGCAACGGTCAACTGGGCGAACGTCAAGTGGGCAACGGTCAACTGGGCGAGCGTCAAGTGGGCAACGGTCAACTGGGCGAACGTCAAGTGGGCAACGGTCAACTGGGCGAAAGTCAAGTTGGCGACTGGGCGAAAATGTGTCCAGAATTAAATTATATTATATTATATTTCTTTGTTTCGAATGACTAGTCTGTGTTTTTCATCTAGAACTTGTTGCTGACTCGTTTGTTGATGTTAAATAATTATTTTCGTACTTGTAAATTCATGATGACGTTTGAAAAAGATTATTTGAAATTAATCGTTTCCCTTTACACTCATTGTTTCTAATTAGTAAAAATAAAATATACACATAAAAGTCTGGACAGTTAAAAGCCCCATTTCAATATTTATCGAAACCCCTCTGTACTGCCTGTAGTGTTTCTTTTATGCGCCATTTTGAATAGGTGTATGCCATTGGTATTGCGTATTAGATTTAATTTTTAAAAAAAAAACAGTAAATAAAGAACATATTTTTAAAAAAAAATTAATAATCTACCTTACGTTACATTCCTTTGATATATTGATACGTCAATCTGAAACTTAACACCATTGTTCATATTTAATTTAGCTGGTGGGTGGGGGAAATTAAACTAATTGCTTAGATAGATATGCCGGAATAAATAATTCCTTGTAATAATATACCTCTAAACAAAATTGTTGGATATCTTCACATTATCTTAGCCACTAAACAAAATTGTTGGATATCTTCACATTATCTTAGCCACTAAACAAAATTGTTGGATATCTTCACATTATCTTAGCCTCTAAACAAAATTGTTGGATATCTTCACATTATCTTAGCCACTAAACAAAATTGTTGGATATCTTCACATTATCTTAGCCCCTAAACAAAATTGTTGGATATCTTCACATTATCTTAGCCTCTAAACAAAATTGCTGGATATCTTCACATTATCTTAGCCTCTAAACAAAATTGTTGGATATCTTCAAATTATCTTGGCCTCTAAACAAAACTGTTGGATATCTTCACATTATCTTAGCCCCTAAACAAAATTGTTGGATATCTTCACATTATCTTAGCCTCTAAACAAAATTGCTGAATATCTTCACTTTATCTTAGTCACTGAAAAAATTGCTTGCAATCTATAATGGAGTTACAATGGAGCTTAAATAAGGCCACGAGAGGGATTCGCCCCAAAAGCTGCACGTTTGGTCGACTACTCGTACATCAGGTCCCAATATTAAATCAAATCTCTACACCGAACTCATTGACTAGGTCGACTACTCGTGCATCAGGTCCCAATATTAAATCAAATCTCTACACCGAACGCATTGACTTGTAGTTTCACAACTTACAATCAGCAATCAAATGTATACAGCAGTCCAATGCTGGATATTAAAGTCAGTGAAATGTGACAAGAGGGACACTTGCCCCACCTGGGGCCGTGCCTCTAACACCTATCGCACCTGCTTTATGGGGTCACACTTATGTGTCACGTGTCAACCTGTCGTACACATTAGGCTATCCTACACCTAGGGCACCACTATCCTAAACATAGGGCATCAGGCTATCCTACACGTAGGGCACCAAGCTATCCTACACCTAGGGCACCAGGCTATCCTACACCTAGGGCATCAGGCTGTCCTACACCTAGGGCACCAGGCTATCCTACACCTAGGGCACCAGGCTATCCTACACCTAGGGCACCAGGCTATCCTACACCTAGGGCACCAGGCTATCCTACACCTAGGGCACCAGGCTATCCTACACCTAGGGCACCAGGCTATCCTACACATAGGGCACCAGGCTATCCTAAACATAGGGCATTACTATCCTACACCTAGGGCACCAGGCTATCCTACACCTAGGGCACCAGGCTATCCTACACCTAGGGCACGAGGCTATCCTACACCTAGGGCATCAGGCTATCCTACACCTAGGGCACCAGGCTATCCTACACCTAGGGCATCAGGCTGTCCTAAACCTAGGGCATCAGGCTATCCTACACCTAGGGCATTACTATCCTACACATAGGGCATCAGCCTATCCTACACATAAGGCATCAGGCTATCCTACACATATGGCATCATTATCCTACACATAGGGCACCAGGCTATCCTACACCTAGGGCATCAGGCTATCCTACACATAGGGCATCAGCCTATCCTACACATAGGGCATTACTATCCTACACATAGGGCATCAGCCTATCCTACACCTAGGGCATCAGGCTATCCTACACATAGGGCATCAGCCTATCCTACACATAGGGCATCATTATCCTACACCTAGGGCACCAGGCTATCCTACACCTAGGGCATCAGGCTATCCTACACATAGGGCATCAGCCTATCCTACACATAGGGCATCAGCCTATCCTACACATAGGGCACCAAGCTATCCTACACCTAGGGCACCAGGCTATCCTACACATAGGGCATCAGTCTATCCTACACATAGGGCATCAGGTTATTCTACACTTAGAGCATCAGGCTATTCTACACATAATGTATCACTAACCTACACCAAGGGCACCAGGCTATCCTACACCTAGGGCATCAGGCTTAAGCCGAGATTAGCCAATAAAACAATGAATAGAGCTTAAAATACACTCAGTGAAAACTCTAGCTTTTGAGTTGTATACTAGCCATTAAGTTGTATACTAGCTATAGAGTTGTACACTAGCTATAGAGTTGTACACTAGCTATTGAGTTGTACACTAGCTATTGAGTTGTATACTAGCTATAGAGTTGTACACTAGCTATTGAGTTGTATACTAGCTATTAAGTTGTATACTAGCTATTGAGTTACATTTATAGAAATACAACTGTGTAAAACTCACCTACAAATCGAGTTATCATGCTGAAGCAATCATGAGTCCAGTGTATTACGACTGGTGATCTAGACCAACAGAACACTCCATAAACAATCATGTACCCATCATGTAGATATTCATTACAACAACAATATCAGCCAACGAACTTTGAAAACCGTGTGTGCTATTTTTATCCGTCGTGTGATACAGTGTCGGTCCCAGGTAATGGTAATACATTGTCAAATAGTTACATATTGAGTAATGTAATACATAGAGTAATATATAGAGGTTTTATATGTAAAACGTATAGTTATATACTGAATATTTAAATGTAATACATGTAGTTATATACTGATCTATTGGGCCCACGTTTCAAAATTATATTTTGAAAATTGTAGTTCATTATCATCAAACATGCTGGCGAGATATTAAAGTGGTGAGATATTAAAGTGGTGAGATATTAAAGTGGTGAGATATTAAAGTGGTGAGATATTAAAGTGGTGAGATATTAAAGTGGTGAGATATTAAAGTGGTGAGATATTAAAGTGGTGAGATATTAAAGTGGTGAGATATTAAAGTGGTGAGATATTAAAGTGGTGAGATACATTACAGAGGTGGTAATAGTGGTGAAACTCATTGATGAGATGGTGAAATGGTGAGACACAACAGGTGATATGGTGAAATGGTAAGACAAATAGCCCAGGTTAGCACTGTGGTAAGACAGAAGAGGTGTGCGGGCTGTGGTTGAAAGCGTATCGATCACAAATGTTTGAAAAAACCCAACCCAATTTATTTCAAGCGTATTGATCACATGTTTTAAAAAACCAACCAAATTTATTTCAAGCTTATTGATCACATGTTTTAAAAAAACCAACCCAATTTATTTCAAGCTTATTGATCACATGTTTTAAAAAACCAACCCAATTTATTTCAAGCGTATTGATCACATGTTTTAAAAAAACCAACCCAATTTATTTCAAGCGTATTGATCACATGTTTTAAAAAACCCAACCCAATTTATGTCAACCCACGCCCCTGCTCGGCTGGACAATAAACGTCATTAAGTATTGATTAGAGCAATAATTAGCTCACACGCGACGTATATGATTTAAAATAGGACCATCTTTGTAAGCACGCTATAAAACATCTTTTGGATCTCCTACCAGGGGACATCAATCATTCCCCCCCCCCCGTCCATAGGGTCTCCACGTCGATAACCCTTACCCACGGGTCAAGGAGCAATAAAGCAAGCCCTAAGGTGGCCAGATAAATAACACGAACTGGGCTCATAACCATAACCCAAGGGTCGACACATTAATTACCTTAACTTATAGTCACTAGCTATCAGAAGAGTCATGTCGTTAATTAATTTTGCTTTAAATAATGTGGGAGACGAACTCAAATTTATGAATTTTCTGTAAGATTTGAATAGATTTGTGGATTAACTGATGAAGTTTTACAAAGGCATGTCCAATGCATGATTTGAATAGATTTGTGGATTAACTGATGAAGTTTTACAATGGCATGTCTGATGCATGATTTGAATAGATTTGTGGATTAACTGATGAAGTTTTACAATGGCATGTCTGATGCATGATTTGAATAGATTTGTGGATTAACTGATGACGTTTTACAATGGCATGTCTGATGCATGATTTGAATAGATTTGTGGATTAACTGATGAAGTTTTACAATGGCATGTCTGATGCATGATTTGAATAGATTTGTGGATTAACTGATGACGTTTTACAATGGCACGTCTGATGCATGATTTGAATGGATTTGTGGATTAACTGATGAAGTTTTACAAAGGCATGTATGATGCATGATTTGAATGGATTTGTGGATTAACTGATGAAGTTTTACAAAGGCATGTATGATGCATGATTTGAATGGATTTGTGGATTAACTGATGAAGTTTTACAATGGCACGTCTGATGCATGATTTGAATAGATTTGTGGATTAACTGATGAAGTTTTACAATGGCATGTCTGATGCATGATTTGAATGGATTTGTGGATTAACTGATGAAGTTTTACAATGCAATGTCCAATGCATGATTTGAATGGGTTTGTGGATTAACTGATGACGTTTTACAATGCAATGTCCAATGCATGATTTGAATGGATTTGTGGATTGACTGATGAAGTTTTACAATGGCATGTCTGATGCATGATTTGAATGGATTTGTTGAATAGATTATGAAGTTCTACAATGCCATGAGTCCAGCCTGTGAAGGAACTAAGAACGAGATAAGAACACGTCTCATGGGTTATCTGTCCCTGAGCAAGCACTGCATTATTGTTAAGATAAGCCATAGACTGGTCTGTTATCAGGGGGAGGGAGGGCTGGGGTGGGGGGGGGGGGGGATCGGGGATCTTGACCGTTATTTGATGTAAACATCCATGATGACGACATCAACTGCTGATGAGCTCTGGGTGCTGTTAACACGGCCAATGAACAGTCAGACAGCTCTTATGCACAGACAGACAGCGCTAATGGACAGCCATACAGCTTTGTCTGACAACCAGACAGCCCTGAAGGACAGTCAGCAAGGCCCATCTAGCGGGGTGTCCCTGACGCAGGTCGACCTGTACCTGAACATGCTTGTCTCCCCCTGCCTGATTGTCTGCAGCTGTGTGGGAAACGCCCTGGCCATCGTCGTGCTACAGCGCCGGTCGTTCCACAACCTGCCCATGGCCGTCTACCTGACCTTCTTGGCACTGGTTGATGCTGGCACCGTCACAACTGGACTCCTGCCTCGGTTTATCCTGGCTGCTACAGGTAAATACATTGTTTTACCTGGCTGATACAGGTAGTTACGTCATTGATCTTAAGTGAAAAATATAGTTACGTCACTTATCCTAGCTGGTACTGATCATCAAGTCATTTTTCCTATCGAATACGGGTAGTTTTAAGTACCGCACTCTATGTCTGAACGCCGGTGTATCGATAAACTACTATTGTATCGAGCATTTTCTGTCGGTATCTACACCTTTTATACTGACTAAAATTCAGCTTTTTTTCTCTCGGTATTTGCACTAACTAAAGTATAGCTTTTTTACTTTCTCGTATATACGAAGTATAGAGAAAGTATTGTAATCGTGCACAAAAATCAATTGAAATTTTAACAATTTTCACCGTATTACACCTCAGTCCTTCATCACATCCGAAGTATAGAGGACTTATTTTAATCGGGCAAAAATTATCAATCCAGATTTATCAAAATTAAAAGGTTTTATGCGTAATCCAGTCTGAAAAACTGGGCTTTGCTATTCTGTCCGTATGTCTGTGTGTCTGTCTGTCTGTCCGTGTGTAAACACGATAACTTGAGTACCGTTACAGCTAGGTTGATGAAATTTCATATATAAGTATTTTATCAAAATCGTAGATCCGTATCAACTTTTGAGCGATTTCCGACAACCGGAAGTGGTACTTTTTCTATTTTGAAATTTTAAAAAGCCTGTAACTTGAGTACTATTTCAGATAGATAAATGAAATTTCACATGTCAGTAAAAGATCTAATCCTCTACCTTCTGTTAAATTTTGAGTAATTTCCATTGACCGGAAGTAGTAATTTATGCTACTTCCGATTTCTCAAAAAACTAATGTAAATTTTTAAAGTACTAATAATATTGCGCACTATTATGCACTTTTTTTATTTTGCGTTCACTTGGTGTGCAATTCTTTTGTCTACGAGATTTTATTCTATTTTTAAAACTTTAAGTATTTAAAATGGATTAAAAATCATGTCTATAGCCCGAGTTCCCATCCCCTGTTGTTTTATATATAAGAATATTCGAGAAAGTTTAGGGGAGATCACTCCCGGTTTATTTCTGACTGTATTTACACTAACTAATAAATAGCCTTTTCTGTCGGTATTTACAATAACTAAAATATAGCTTTTTACTTTCTCGTATATACGAAGTATAGAGAAAGTCTTGTAATCGTGCAAAAAAAATAAATCGAGATTTTTACAAATCTCGACGTTTTACACCTTACTGATACGGAAAAACATAATTTTGCAATCTTGTCCGTATGTCTGTGTGTCTGTCTGTCTGTCTGTCTGTCTGTCTGTCCGTGTGTAAACACGATAACTTGAGTACCGTTACAGCTAGGTTGATGAAATTTCATATATAAGTATTTTATCAAAATCGTAGATCCGTATCAACTTTTGAGCGATTTCCGATAACCGGAAGTGGTACTTTCCCTACTTTGAATTTTTCAAAAGCCTATAACTTGAGTACTATTTCAGATAGATTAATGAAATTTCACATGTAAGTAAAAGATCTAATTCTCTACCTTCTGTTTAATTTTGAGTAATTTCCGTTGACTGGAAGTAGTACTTTACGCTACTTCCAATTTCTCAAAAAACTAATGTAAATTTTAAAAGTACTATAATATTGCGCACTATTATGCGCTTTTTTATTTGGCGTTCACTTGGTGTGCAATTAATTTGTCTACGAGATTTTATTCTATTTTTACAAGCTTTTATTTAACTCACTTCCTCTGTCTGTCTGTCTAGACGGAAACGCAGGAGTGAAAATTCGGACAGTTCTACTTGACCGATACGATTCAAAGTTAGCACGTGGGTCAAGACATGAAGACAATACAATCTGAAACTAAATTTGATTTAATTGGATGCCTAATTAATTTTTTATGAATTAATTACAATTTGGACCGAATTAGTAGGCATGTCTAGCCAACCACACCACACGCGTCATCACCTTCAATAGTTGCGCCATCACGTAATGGCTGCGTTCAAAAACCATTGCGCGCCTACTGAACGTGATGTTCAGTAGGCGCGCAATGGTTTTTAGTCATGTAACTCTATTGTAAATAAAACATGTAAAGTACTGAAAAAAAAATTCATAAAAAACGTTTTAATAACAAGCTTTTATGTAATGATGCACTAAAAAGTAGAAAATAAATTATAGACTACTATTTAAATAACTATAAAGAAAAGCGTGGGTGTCTTCCTTAACATTAGTAAAGGTATCCAATAGATACTAAAGTGACCCACGCTTTTCTTTATAGTTATTTAAATAGTAGTCTATAATTTATTTTCTACTTTTTAGTGCATCATTACATAAAAGCTTGTTATTAAAACGTTTTTTATGAATTTTTTTTTAAACTTTAAGTATTTAAAATGGATTAAAAATCATGTCTATAGCCCGAGTTCCCATCCCTTGTTATTTTATATATAAGAATATTCGAGAAAGTTTAGGGGAGATCACTCCCGGTTTATTTATGTCGGTATTTACATTAACTAAAGTATAGCTTTCATCGGTGCCTTTACACTTACAGGAACAATGTATATATTCTTAAAGTGACGAAAATTATTTTTCTCTATGTATGAATAGACAAAAGATTTGATAAAATTCACTGAAGTGTTGGGAGGGTGTCAGTAGCCTTTGTAGCTAGTGTTGGTGAGAAAAAAATAAGGAAAATTGATGAAGTTTGTATTGTGTGTTTTTAGAGCAGGACGAAAAACCTTGAGTTTAAGTGTCATCATTTTAAAAGAGCATTTTTGTATTGTATATTTTTGTATTGTATCTTTTTGTATTGTGTATTTTGTGTTGTCATGCGCATGTCACTATTGTTGTGTCCACATACAACCGACCGCCATGTTTTTCTTCAGATTACGACATCCGAGGCGGGAGTGAGCGCAGCTGTCAACTGCACGTGTTTATCATGTACCTGTTCACCCAGCTTAGTGCCTGGACGCTGGTCATCGTCACGTGCGAGAGGGTGGTGTCCATCGTACGGCCACACGACATCCGCTCCCTGTGCACCAAGGTCAAGTCCGGCTTCTTTATCGTTGGCGCCATCTTAGTCGTGGGCTCGACCAACATCCCCATCTTCTTCGTGCTGGGCAAGTCCCTGCACGTCCGCAAACCCCAGCAGTTGGACAACGTGAGCAACGCGACACTCGTCTACCGCACGTGTGTCGTCAAGCCAGACTCCGGTACCAGCACCGCCATCTTCTTCACACTTCAGTTCCTCAAGCAATGCCTGCTGCCATTTGTAATCATCTTAATCCTCAACGTGATCATCATAGTCAGCCTGGTGAGGCGACGTCACGCTCTACGGAGCAGCCTCCAGGAAGTGACGTGTGAGACGATGGATGACGGCGTGGAGGTCCGCACAAAAACCGGGCTCAAGAAGGTCGTCTCCCGGCGTGACGCCTCCCTCTCCGTCATCTTGGTCACCGTCAATGCCGTGTTCCTTGTCTGCACTTTCCCGATCGGGATCTACCAGCAGATTGTCCCCGCCATACCGGAGAGGGAGATGGACGACCCGGGGGAGGTGCTCACTTACACTGTGCTTGTCATGGTACTCTATCTCAACAACACGCTCAATTTTCTGCTCTATTACGTCACGGGTTCTAAATTTAGAGCAGAGATAAAGTCTTTGTTTGCTTGCCGTCAGAGCTGATGCCTAAAGTTCTTGCCGACAGATCTCACGGCTAAAGTTCTTGTTATCATAAAGTAGTTTATGTTATTAAAATTTATTTTTGCCATCAGGATTTGTATGTGTCTTAATTATAATCAATGTCTAGCGGTATAGAATGTTTCTATAACGTTCTCTTTCCACAATACATTAAGAACGTACATTATAAACAAATAAACGTTCTAGATAAAGATCATAAGTACACCAACATCAGCACACCAACACCACTACACCAACACCACTACACCAACACCACTACACCAACACCACTACACCAACACCACTACACCAACACCACTACACCAACACCACTACACCAACACCACTACACCAACACCACTACACCAACACCACTACACCAACACCACTACACCAACACCACTACACCAACACCACTACACCAACACCACTACACCAACACCACTACACCAACACCACTACACCAACACCAGCTCACCAACACCACTACACCAACACCACTACACCAACACCACTACACCACTACACCAACACCACTACACCAACACCACTACACCAACACCACTACACCAACACCACTACACCAACACCACTACACCAACACCAGCTCACCAACACCACTACACCAACACCACTACACCAACACCACTACACCAACACCACTACACCAACACCACTACACCAACACCACTACACCAACACCACTACACCAACACCACTACACCAACACCAACACCACTACACCAACACCACTACACCAACACCACTACACCAACACCACTACACCAACACCACTACACCAACACCACTACACCACTACATCAACACCACTACACCAACACCACTATACCAACACCACTACACCACTACATCAACACCACTACACCAACACCACTACACCAACACCACTACACCAACACCACTACACCAACACCACTACATCAACACCACTACACCAACACCACTACACCACTACATCAACACCACTACACCAACACCACTATACCAACACCACTACACCACTACATCAACACCACTACACCAACACCACTACACCAACACCACTACACCAACACCACTACACCAACACCACTACACCAACACCACTACACCAACACCACTACACCAACACCACTACACCAACACCACTACACCAACACCAGCTCACCAACACCACTACACCAACACCACTACACACACACACCAGCACACCAACACCACTACATCAACACCACTACACCAACACCACTACACCAACACCACTACACCAACACCACTACACCAACACCACTACACCAACACCACTACACCAACACCACTACACTAACACCACTACACCAACACCACTACACCAACACCACTACACCAACACCACTACACCAACACCACTACACCAACACCACTACACCACTACATCAACACCACTACACCAACACCACTACACCAACACCACTACACCACTACATCAACACCAGCACACCAACACCACTACATCAACACCACTACACCAACACCACTACACCAACACCAGCACACCAACACCACTACATCAACACCACTACACCAACACCAGCACACCAACACCACTACATCAACACCACTACATCAACACCACTACACACACACCAGCATACCAACACCAGCATACCAACACCAGCACACCAACACCAATTGTTGAAGGCAACTGTCCATTAAAGGCAGTTTAACGCTAGTATCCACAAGTTCCTAGTTAACAGTGACGGCATATTGGTGAAGTGAAAGAATGTTTCAAAACACCTACAAACCCCATACAAACACCTAACCACCTACAAACACCAACAAACAGCTACAGACACCTATAAACACCTATAAACAACCACTTTTGTAATTTTAATGATATGTTTTTACCTTCTTGTAAAATCGAGCACACAAATTAAAAAAAATTAAATGAGATTTTAACAGTTTTGCCGTTTCACTCAGCCCCGCTGTTTATAAATTGAGATTTTGACACATTGCTAAGTTTTATAACTTTCCGGGGCCGGAAAAACATTGTTTTTGCCATCCCGTCCGTATATGTGTGTGTGTGCGTGTGTTTGTGTGCGTGTCTGTGTGTGCGTGTCTGTGTGCATAAGTGTGTGTGTAAATACGATAACTCGAGTACCGTGTATGCTAGGTTGATGAAATTGATCCATATACTAGCTACGTTTTCTACCGTTAATTTCTGACACGATAAAGATTCAAGGTAACGGCCTCAGCCCACTTTCCAGTTTTGATTTTTTATGTCCGGGAAATAGAATATTGATCATTGCTAGTTTTAGTTATCTCGCTTCTTCTTTGACCTAGTTTGAATGAACACGTTTTCTAAATTTAAAAATAAATAAAGCGGGAGTGATCTCCCCTAAACTTTCTCAAATATTCTTAGATCACACTATTGGGGATGGTAATTCCAGTGCAGCCGGTATATGGGGTCGTCCATAAATGACGTCACACTCGGAGGGGGGTCGGTAATTTTGTGACGATATTTGATGAGGGGGGAGGGTCAGATGGTGCGACGTCACACTTTTTTCATTATAAAAAAGAAATGTTAGAAAACGAATTTTAGACGTTATTTCGAGTTTTAGAAAACTGTTTTAATAGGAATTGATTAAAATACTCTATTTTGACAGATTTCAGACAAGAGTTTGGAAAAATATCGATGTTTTAAGAAAAATTCAACCAATTTTGAGGGGGGGGGGGTTGTAGGCTGAGGTGTGACGTCATTTTAGGGGGTGGTCTGACTTTTTGTGACGACGTGTGACGGAGGGGAGGGGGGGGGGGGAGTTAAAAATCGTCAAAAAAGCGTGACGTCATTTATGGATGACCCCCTATAGACATTTCTTTTTAAATCAATTTTCAAACACTTACATTTCTGCTTTCTCGTATACAGAGTATAGAGGAAGTATTGTAATCATGCACAAAAATCACATGAAGTTTTGACAGTTTTCATCGTTTTACACCTCAGTACTTCATTGTATGTAGTATATGGGACTTATTTTAATCGGGCAAAATTATAAATGCAGGTTTATCAAAATTTAGGCGTTCTTTGCGTAATCTAGTCGTAAAAACTGGGCTTTGCAATTCTGTCCGTATGCCTGTGTGTATGTCTGTGAACACGATAACTTGAGTACCGTTGGAGCAAGGTTAACGAAATTTCATATATAAGTATGTTTGTCTGGTGCTGTATTTATATGTAGCTAAGGAATTTTTTTCTTATTATTTACGTATATACGAACATGCGGATATATAAATTATGACAATATTATTTAATAGCTTGTTTAATTCATTGAAAATACGTCATTGATTACTACAGCTAACATTGAATGGCTGAGTTTGAAAGCTTTTAATTCAATAGCAAGCTTTTTCTGTTTTCTTACAACCTCTCGTCTGCTCCTGTGATAAGCCAGACGTCAATAGAGCCCGGATGTTGGGTCAGCTGCATGCTGGGAGATAATTACTCAACAGGCTAGTGTTAGGGTGATACAGCACTTGTCACTTTCTCAACATGTGGTCACCTGCCACATGTCCCACATAACTTCGACACCTGTTCCACACAACGACGTCATTTGTCCCACATAACGACGTCACTTGTCCCACATAACGATGTCACATGTGGACACATAACGACGTCACTTGGCCACATAACGACGTCACTTGTCCCACATAACGACGTCACTTGCCCCACGTAATGACGTCACTTGTCGAACATAACAACGTCGCTTGTCCCACATAACGACGTCACTTGTCCCACATAACGATGTCACATGTGGACACATAACGACTTCACTTGGCCACATAACAACGTCACTTGTCCCACATAATGACGTCACTTGTCCCACATAACGACGTCACTTGTCCCACATAACGACGTCACTTGTCCCACAAAGTGATATCACTTGTCCCACATAACGACATCACTTGTCCAACATAATGACGTCACTTGCCCACATAAGGACGTCACCTGTTCCACATAACGACGTCACTTGCCCCACATAACGACGTCACTTGTCCCACATAACGACGTCACTTGTCCCACATAACGACGTCACTTGTCCCACATAACGACGTCACTTGTCCCACATAACGACATCATCTGTCCCACATAACGACGTCACTTGTCCCACATAACGACGTCACTTGTCCCACTTAACGACATCACTTGCCCCACATAACGACGTCACTTGTCCCACATAACGACGTCACTTGTCCCACATAACGACGTCACTTGTCCCACATAACGACATCATTTGCCCCACATAACGACGTCACCTGTCCCACATAACGACGTCACTTGTCCCACATAACGACGTCACTTGTCCCACATAACGACGTCACTTGTCCCACATAACGACGTCACTTGTCCCACATTACCTGACCGCTGATATGTTAATTAAACACAGACAAAACTTAAACACAGGCCCCCACCACCTGCCCCGACCCCCAGGATAGGAGCCCGGGTCAGGCCAGGAGCAGCGTGAACCCTGGGGCCGGCACGACTTTGATGTCCACTCGTTGTTTGCCTGCAACTGTTGTGTAAATCCCCCACTGATGACACAGCTCCGACTTAAGCCCTGATGTAGGCGAGAGCCTTCCTGCCTGTGGCCCAGCCCTCCAGTATATAAGCCCCGGCCCCATGTCTGCCCACAGTTGAACCAGCCTACAGTAGACACCACACACTATGGTCAGCATGGGCTTTCTCACAGCAACTCTTGCATTCTGCCTTCTATTGGGTGAGTTGTCAGCACATTTTCTACTCTAGTGCCTACTTCATACAGGATTAACTCCCCTTAGACTAAAATTATAAACAATATTTCAATGGCTTGTAGTCTTAAAATCTGCTAACTAAAATAATTGTATCTTTTCCAATATTTTATTAAAGTTAAAATTATTTTTATTAGTTAAAAGTAGGTCGTTTAAAAAAAATTAAAATTCTAATTTTTTTTTTATTTTTTGCAAGCAAGTCAGTAAGGAGGAGTGGGGAAGGGAAGGGGTCAAAATACGATTTTAGATTACCTAAGTAATATAATTACTATCCTTATATACCCGTTGTAATTATGTTTAAATTAAGGTTCAACGTTTACCTGATGCTCATTCTTGGATATACGTACTCCATCCTCTGCCAATAATTAACTTCATGACATTTTGTCATTCTACTGCCTCCCTGCCCACTAACTTGATGATCTTATGTCCTTCTGCCCAGGCTCCACTGCCTCCCTGCCCACTAACTTGATGATCTTTTATCCTTCTGCCCAGGCTCCACTGCCTCCCTGCCCACTAACTTGATGATCTTTTGTCCATCTGCCCAGGCTCCACTGCCTCCCTGCCCACTAACTTGATGATCTTTCGTCCATCTGCCCAGGCTCCACTGCCTCCCTGCCCACTAACTTGATGATCTTTTGTCCATCTGCCCAGGCTCCACTGCCTCCCTGCCCACTAAATTGATGATCTTTTATCCTTCTGCCCAGGCTCCACTGCCTCCCTGCCCACTAACTTGATGATCTTTTGTCCATCTGCCCAGGCTCCACTGCCTCCCTGCCCACTAAATTGATGATCTTTTATCCTTCTGCCCAGGCTCCACTGCCTCCCTGCCCACTAACTTGATGATCTTTTGTCCATCTGCCCAGGCTCCACTGCCTCCCTGCCCACTAACTTGATGATCTTTTGTCCATCTGCCCAGGCTCCACTGCCTCCCTGCCCACAGACTTTGAGTACGAGTGTTCTAACCTGCCCGACAACTTCCTGTACTGGTGGGCGTGTGGCTCCTATGGCGTGTGCCGTGGTGGTCAGTACGTGCAGGTGGACTGTGTCAATGGCACCATCTACGACAGACGTGCCGGGGACTGTGTGCCGTAAGTTGTACACCAGCTAGGTCACGTGATGGAGCAATTAGCGTTCTTATATCATAATTACATGCATAGAATTTCAATAATTACATTATAATGGGAAGAGATGAGAAATATATAAACATTCAATGACGTCTGAATGTTGTGGTAAACTGACGTCTGAATGCTGTGGTCAACTGACGTCTAAATGTTGTGGTCAACTGACGTCTGAATTGGTCAACTGACGTCTGAATGTTGTGGTCGCCTGACGTCTGAATGTTGTGGTCACCTGACGTCTGAATGCTGTGGTCACCTGACGTCTGAATTGGTCAACTGACGTCTGAATGCCGTGGTCAACTGACGTCTGAATGCTGTGGTCACCTGACGTCTGAATGTTGTGGTCACCTGACGTCTGAATGCTGTGGTCAACTGACGTCTGAATTGGTCACCTGACGTCTGAATTGGTCAACTGACGTCTGAATGCCGTGGTCAACTGACGTCTGAATGCTGTGGTCAACTGACGTCTGAATGCTGTGGTCACCTGACGTCTGAATGCCGTGGTCAACTGACGTCTGAATGCTGTGGTCAACTCACGTCTGAATGCTGTGGTCACCTGACGTCTGAATTGGTCAACTGACGTCTGAATGCCGTGGTCAACTGACGTCTGAATGTTGTGGTCACCTGACGTCTGAATGTTGTGGTCAACTGACGTCTGAATGCCGTGGTCAACTGACGTCTGAATGTTGTGGTCAACTGACGTCTGAATGTTGTGGTCAACTGACGTCTGAAAGTCTGAATGTTGTGGTCAACTGACGTCTGAATGTTGTGGTCACCTGACGTCTGAATTGGTCACCTGACGTCTGAATGTTGTGGTCAACTGACGTCTGAATGCTGTGGTCAACTGACGTCTGAATGTTGTGGTCACCTGACGTCTGAATGTTGTGGTCACCTGACGTCTGAATGCTGTGGTCATCTGACGTCTGAATTGGTCAACTGACGTCTGAATGCCGTGGTCACCTGACGTCTGAATGCTGTGGTCACCTGACGTCTGAATGCTGTGGTCACCTGACGTCTGAATTGGTCACCTGACGTCTGAATGTTGTGGTCAACTGACGTCTGAATGTTGTGGTCACCTGACGTCTGAATGTTGTGGTCACCTGACGTCTGAATGCTGTGGTCACCTGATGTCTGAATGTTGTGGTCACCTGACGTCTGAATGCTGTGGTCACCTGACGTCTGAATGTTGTGGTCACCTGACGTCTGAATGCTGTGGTCACCTGACGTCTGAATTGGTCACCTGACGTCTGAATGTTGTGGTCAACTGACGTCTGAATGTTGTGGTCACCTGACGTCTGAATGTTGTGGTCACCTGACGTCTGAATGCTGTGGTCACCTGATGTCTGAATGTTGAGGTCAACTGACGTCTGAATGATGTGGTCAACTGACGTCTGAATGCTGTGGTCACCTGACGTCTGAATGACGTGTGCCTCTCTGTCCCCAGCAACACTGAGGTCGTGTCGTTCCCCTGCAACTCTATCCCCCGACAGTGTGAGTCGTACAACGGACCCGGCCAGCGCTATGCCGACCAGGAACACGATCCAGTAGAGAGCTTGCCACCCTGCACGTTCTACTTCACCTGCTCTTATGGCAGATATTTAGGCCACCAGAGGTGTAGTGAAGGTAGGTCGGACATGTCACTATAACCTGACACATTTATCTCGCACACGTCACAAGCTACTTGACACAAGTTCTTGTCATGCCAACATTTTTATTCCACTGCGAAATCATTGTCACGTTACATTTTTTTTAAATATTTAAACGTATAAAAACGTTTATACAGTCGATATGTATTTTAAATACTAAATATACGTTTATATGCACTAAAACAGAAGAAAACTAAAGGGTTTTCTTAAAGGATAATAATGCACAACTATCTACATAACCAAAGAAAAGCAAAATTCATCCATCGGTTCGGTAGGTCAAATAACATTCGCACTGGTGTACTGAAGAACAACGTAAAATGAGTTACATAAAAATACATTAAAAACGTATTAATAACAAGCTTTGACATAATTATGCACTAAAATGGAGAAAATAAATGATTTTCTTTTATATATATATATATATATATATATATATATATATATATATATATATATATATATATATATATATATATATATATTTGCACTATAGTTTGAATAACTAAAGAAAAGCGTAGGTTGCTTCCTAAATTTAGTGAAGGTATCCAATAGTGACCAATGCTTTTCTTTACAGTTATTTAAATTGTAGTGCATACTTATATATTTGAAGAAAATGTATTTAATTTCTTTTTTTAAAGTATAATTATATATAAGCTTGTTATTAAAACTTTTTAATGATTTTTTTTAAACTTTAAAATTGTTAATACAGTAGAGATGCATGGTTAAAAACAATTGTGAACAAACACGAAAAATGTGTATGATAGCGCGGAAAAGAATAATTTACCTTAGAAACTTTAATTTATTCATAAAAAATTATTAACTATTCAATTAAGTCAAATTTGATGTCAGGTTGCATTGTCATCGGGTCTTGACCCACATACCAAGTTTGAAACGAATCGGTCCGTTAGAAGTGTTCGAAAGTTCGTAGTTTTGATCGATGACAAGGAAGCAAGTTAAATAAAAGCTTGTAAAACCCGTGTAACTGTGATCAAACAAACAAAACCTTGCCACATCACGTAACACATCACGTGACACATCACGTGACACATCACGTGACACATCACGTGACACATCACGTGACACATCACGTGACACATCACGTGACACATCACGTGACACATCACGTGACACATCACGTGACATATCGTGTGACACAAGACGTGACACAAGACGTGACACAAGACGTGACACAAGACGTGACACATCACGTGACACATCACGTGACACATCACGTGACACAACATGTGACACAACACGTGACACAACATGTGACACACCACGTGATCCCCACTCTCTGCCCCACCAGGCACTGTGTACGATGAGCCCCAACAACGATGTCTGCCACCTGCCGAGGTCGCCTCTCCTTGTGGAACTATGGTAAGCTTATTGTCGTCTACATACGTATTAGTGTCATTCATTTTTTAGGTACAGTTTGTGTAACTAGTATCATTCATTTTGTAGTTAAAGCTTGTATAATTAGTGTAATTAATTTTGTAGTTAAAGCTTGTATAATTAATGTCATTAATTTTGAAATTATACCCCAGCCTGCAGGCGGCAGACCACTGAGTATACCTGGGGACACAGTCGAGTCCAGACAGGTTAGACTACTCATTCCTTCATATATATATATATATATATATATATATATATATATATATATATATATATATATATATATATATATATATATATATATATATATATATATATATATATATATATATATACTTAATGAAAACGTCAAATGTCAAAAACCTCCAGAGGTTTGTGGACACCCCAGCCCTCACTCCACCTCATGACCACATCATTCATACGTCAGTTGACCTCTCCTCCTCCTCCTGATCCAGTTATTTCTCTCTCATCCAGATGGTCCACCCTGTGACTGACCCTGAGGGTAAGCCTGACCAGCAGAAGTGGCCGTTCACCAACAACAACCGCAACCCACGTAGCGACAACCGGGCCCAGAGACTCAACTACAGATCTGTGGACAAAGCCGCTCCACAGACCAACTTTAACCCCAACAACTTCAACCCTTCTGAGTACGGCATTCACGTGGATGGCAACGACAAATAAATGGAAATCAAATCTATGTGGGACTACCGCCATTACTGGTCTGATCAAACTTCAGATCACTCCCCCACCCCCTAACCACTTCCCCGTCTACCGGCACCTCCATAGCAGTATTGTGTTGCCATTTCCTGACTCATCTTCTTGCGTTTACTCCACCCCCCCCCCCCCCCAGACTTCATTTGTACATCGATGATGTACACACTAGATTTTTAAATAGATAAAATGTTTTTATTGATCGTTTTATCTTACCCAATATTCATAATCTTTGAACTGCAGAAGTTGTTCTAACAAAAAAATTGTATTCACTCACACCATGGCAAACCCCAGCCCTAAAGTCATTGGTTTAACACACTGTACATACCATTCGACTTGAAGTTGTTGACTCGTTGTTTTCTAAAACGTTTTTGAATAAAAAAATATTCTGAACATTAAATCGAGAAGCTTGTTTTGTGTGTTTTGTGTGTGTTTTGTGTGTGTTTTGTGTGCCTGATAAAGTATTTCCGTGAATCTGTGCTCCAGATTTTCTTCAAACCAGAGATCTGATACAATTACTAAATTAACACGCTCAAAACAAGTGTAAATATTCATTGGCGTTGGGGTGGGTTATGATACCAAATGACAGCTATCTCAAGTTAAGCTAAAGTGATCACTCTCACTGCTCTTTGTTTAAAAATACTTCAGGTCAAAAGACCTCTAAATATCTCAAAAGAATGGTTTACAAAATATAAGCTTGGTGTTTGGTGATATTTTTCTACAAACTCATACTCCCGTCAGCACATACACACACACAAACACCCATCCACATACACAGACGGTCTCACACATACACACAGTGTAACATTCAATTATAACAAGAGAAATGAATAACCCAGAGGGAAGCTAAGGGGGTGTAAATCAACAAAACAAGGAATTGTATTTTCATGCTAAAACTTTTATTATGGCCCTTGAACCCTTTACATCTTGCTGAACGATATATGGCGTAGATTTTCTGCCAGGCATTTGTGTTCATGGAAACCTCGTGAAATTTCAAAATAAAAAAAAAATCTTTGGAAATCGTCTGAAATCACAAAATAAGTCATCAACTACAAAAATAAATTGTCATGGAATTTTTAAAATATTGTCATAACATTTTAAAAATAATATCGACGACATTTTTAACATAAATATAAAGTTTTAAAAACAGTGTTATGAAATTTTTTAAATAATTATCATAACATTTTTTAAAATAATGTCGTGAAATGAATTAAAAAACAATCCACTGATACACACACCGACCCACAGACACACACAAACACACAGAATGTGTCAACATATGTCTCGGGTTGAATTGTGTCTGTGTAATTGTACTGTCAATATTGGGTGAATGGATGTCAGGTACATTTTTCTAGGTGTGACATAATAAGGCAGGGGTAGGTGTGACATCATCATATGGCAGGGGTAGCTGTGACATCGTCATTAGTCAGGGGTAGGTGTGACATCATCATTAGACAGGGGTAGGTGTGACATCATCATTAGACAGGGGTAGGTGTGACATCATCATTAGACAGGGGTAGGTGTGACGTCATCATTAGACAGGGGTAGGTTAGATTTGCCAAAAACATAGGCAAGTTATCAGCTAATAAATTCTAGATTGTCAGCCTAGCAATGTATGATGACACCAGCAACATGTATGATGATATCAACAGCAACATTTACGATGGCAGCAACAACATGTATAATGACACCAACATCATGTATGATGATATCAACAACATGTATAATGACACCAACAACATTTATGGTGAAATCTATAACATGTATGATGACACCAACACCATGTATGATGACACCAACAACAACAAGTATGATGACACCAACACCATGTATGATGACACCAACATCATGTATGATGATATCAACAACATGTATAATGACACCAACAACATTTATGGTGAAATCTATAACATGTATGATGACACCAACAACATGTGTGATGATATCAACAGCAACATTTACGATGGCAGCAACAACATGTATGATGACACCAGCAACATGTATGATGATATCAACAACATGTATAATGACACCAACATCATTTATGGTGAAATCTATAACATGTATGATGACACCAACAACATGTGTGATGATATCAACAGCAACATTTACGATGGCAGCAACAACATGTATGATGACACCAACATCGTGTATGATGATATCAACAACATGTATAATGACACCAACAACATTTATGGTGAAATCTATAACATGTATGATGACACCAACAACATGTGTGATGATATCAACAGCAACATTTACGATGGCAGCAACAACATGTATGATGACAACAACAACAACAAGTATGATGACACCAACAACAAATGTATGATGACACCAACATCAAGTATGATGATATCAAAAACATGTATGATGACACCAACAACATCATGTATGATGACACCAACAACATCATGTATGATGACACCAACAACAACATGTACGATGACACCAACAACAAATGTATGATGACACCAACATCAAGTATGATGATATCAAAAACATGTATGATGACACCAACAACATCATGTATGATGACACCAACAACATCATGTATGATGACACCAACAACAACATGTACGATGACACCAACAACAAATGTATGATGACACCAACAACAAATGTATGATGACACCAACAACAACATGTATGATGACACCAACAACAACATGTATGATGACACCAACAACAACAAGTATGATGACACCAACACCATGTATGATGACACCAACATCATGTATGATAATATCTTAAACATGTATGATGACACCAACAACAAGTATGATGATATCAACATGTATGATGATACCAAACATGTATGATGACACCAACAACAACATGTATAATGACACCAACAACATCATTTATGATAATATAAACAACATGTATGATGATATCAAAAACATGTATGATGACACAAACAACAACATACAAGATGACACCAACAACATATAAGATGACACCAACAACATCATGTTTGATGACACCAATAGCATGTATGATGACAACAACAACATGTATGATGACAACAACAACAACATGTACGATGACACCAACATCATGTATGATAATATCTTAAACATGTATGATGACACCAACAACAAGTATGATGATATCAACATGTATGATGATACCAACAACAACATGTATAATGACACCAACAACATCATTTATGATGACACCACCAACAACATGTATGATGACACCAACAACAACATTTATGATGCCACCAACAACATATAGTATGACACCAACAACAACATGTATGATGACACCAACAACATCATTTATGATAAGATAAACAACTTGTATGATGATATCAAAAACATGTATGATGACACAAACAACAACATACAAGATGACACCAACAACATATAAGATGACACCAACAACATCATGTTTGATGACACCAATAGCATGTATGATGACAACAACAACATGTATGATGACAACAACAACAACATGTACGATGACACCAACATCATGTATGATAATATCTTAAACATGTATGATGACACCAACAACAAGTATGATGATATCAACATGTATGATGATACCAACAACAACATGTATAATGACACCAACAACATCATTTATGATGACACCACCAACAACATGTATGATGACACCAACAACAACATTTATGATGCCACCAACAACATATATTATGACACCAACAACAACATGTATGATGACACCAACAACATCATTTATGATAAGATAAACAACTTGTATGATGATATCAAAAACATGTATGATGACACAAACAACAACATACAAGATGACACCAACAACATATAAGATGACACCAATAACATCATGTTTGATGACACCAATAGCATGTATGATGATAACAACAACATGTATGATGACAACAACAACAACATGTATGATGACACCAAAAACATTATGTATGATGACACCAACAACACGTATGATGACAACAACAACAACATGCATGATGACACCAATAACATGTATGATGACAACAACAACATTTATGATGACACCAACAACATGTACGATGACACCAACAACAACATGTATGACACCAACAACAACATTTATGATGACACCAACAACATGTACGATGACACCAACAACAACATGTATGACACCAACAATATGTATGATGACACCAACAACATGTACGATGACACCAACAACATGTACGATGACACCAACAACAACATATATGATACCATCAACAACATGTATGATGACACCAACAACATGTACGATGACACCAACAACAACATGTATGATGACACCAACAACATGTACGTTGACACCAAAAACAACATGTATGACACCAACAACATGTATGATGACACCAACAACATGTACGATGACACCAACAACAACATGTATGACACCAACAACATGTATGATGACACCAACAACATGTAAGATGACACCAACAACAACATATATGACACCAACAACAACATGTATGATGACACCAACAACATGTACGATGACAACAACAACATGTATGACACCAACAATATGTATGATGACACCAACAACAACATGTATGATGACACCAACAACATGTACGATGACACCAACAACAACATGTATGATGACACCAACAACATGTACGTTAACACCAAAAACAACATGTATGACACCAACAACATGTATGATGACACCAACGACATGTACGATGACACCAACAACAACATGTATGACACCAACAATATGTATGATGACACCAACAACATGTACGATGACACCAACAACAACATGTACGATGACACCAACAACAACATGTATGATGACACCAACAACATGTACGTTGACACCAAAAACAACATGTATGACACCAACAACATGTATCATGACACCAACAACATGTACGATGACACCAACAACAACATGTATGACACCAACAATATGTATGATGACACCAACAACTTGTACGATGACACCAACAACATGTACGATGACAGCAACAACATGTACGATGACACCAACAACAACATATATGACACCAACAACAACATGTATAATGACACCAACAACATGTACGATGACACCAACAACAACATGTATGACACCAACAACAACATTTATGATGACACCAACAACATGTACGATGACACCAACAACAACATGTATGACACCAACAACATGTATGATGACACCAACAACATGTACGATGACACCAACAACAACAAGTATGATGACACCAACAACATGTACGTTAACACCAAAAACAACATGTATGACACCAACAACATGTATGATGACACCAACGACATGTACGATGACACCAACAACAACATGCATGACACCAACAATATGTATGATGACACCAACAACATGTACGATGACACCAACAACAACATGTATGACACCAACAATATGTATGATGACACCAACAACATGTACGAT